TACAGTAATAAATTTGTATGCGCGAGCCCTTTATTTAAGAGGCAATTTTAACAGCAATACTCGGTATGCAAACTATAAGAATAACAGGAATTAAAGGATAAAGTGTTCCTTAAATTCCTCTTATTCTTATTTTATATATACTCGATGAATAAACGGGTTAAAGGGGTTTTGATCCGATGCCATTTTTGAAGAGCAAATCTTTAAATTGCGAAATATCATAAATACGATGTGCACTCATTTATCTGATAGATTGGGGGCGAGAAGCAATGCTGTAGTTGATAGGCATGATTTAATGTAACGTGGTTCGTGTTGCAATTGTTAATTTCATTACTTTCTCTCGATGATCAAAGTGTAACGAATTGAACGGTCGAGGCGGTTAGGCTGTCAACCTTCCGCTCCGAGAACCAGGGATCCAATTCGGACGAAAAATTCCAAGAATTTTCATGTTTATTTGGTTATATGTGAATGATCGTAGAAAGTCTCCCGGGAAGACTTTCTACGGGAAAACTGTCCCTATTTAGATGTTACAAACGTGAAGAAAACCCGGAAAACGCCACGTGTCAGACCGGGAACCCTCGACCAACTATCAGTGTTCATTGGTTTTATCCACTCGGCCACTGGAGGGTTTTAGGTGGTGGTTTGTCCCGGATATGTCGGCCCGTCTCACACACACCTCGAACTCACGACGGTTCTAATAAAAGGCCTCTTAGTGCCCACAAGGCAGAAAACAGGAAAAACAACAAACAATTATATAAACTTTCATTTCTTACTGTTAAAAAATGTTTAAAAACAAAAAAATATATAAAATTACGTTTTTCGCTTAAATATTAAAATTTAAAGTATCTTCTCTTAATTCTAAATTAGCCTTTAAAGATATTTCAAATACAAAATAAATTTATTAATTAATTTTATATTTAAAATATTCAAAGATGCTTAATCAATTCTCTTATTTATAATTTAAAAAATAAATATTTCCACGACTATTCTAAATTATATTAATAGTATTATTATTATTATAAGGCATCACAAACACGCCAAGTATCGATAGAAGAAAATATTTCCATGAAATTTATTCACCTTTTAAGTACATTAGTCACTGATATGAAAATGATGACAAACTAAATGTACTCCATCATTCAAATTTCGGCCTTGACATATCCCTTATGACCTTAATATTATATGTACCAAGCAGAGACTTCCTTTCTTTCCAATTATATAGTGTCTCCTCCCTTACCTGACAAAAATGCGTGGATCATTTATGTTGAACAAAAGAAAATATTTTATGAATTCGTTAACCTTCATCCTTTTTTTTATACAGCATCCAAGGAAAGAGATGCTATCCTTGAAAATACCTAATAGTCATCATTTTAAAGGGCGTTTCATACAGGTTTAGTGAGAATCTCTTCCAAAAAATCATGTTTATATAAATTACATTTANAATAAAAGGCCTCTTAGTGCCCACAAGGCAGAAAACAGGAAAAACAACAAACAATTATATAAACTTTCATTTCTTACTGTTAAAAAATGTTTAAAAACAAAAAAATATATAAAATTACGTTTTTCGCTTAAATATTAAAATTTAAAGTATCTTCTCTTAATTCTAAATTAGCCTTTAAAGATATTTCAAATACAAAATAAATTTATTAATTAATTTTATATTTAAAATATTCAAAGATGCTTAATCAATTCTCTTATTTATAATTTAAAAAATAAATATTTCCACGACTATTCTAAATTATATTAATAGTATTATTATTATTATAAGGCATCACAAACACGCCAAGTATCGATAGAAGAAAATATTTCCATGAAATTTATTCACCTTTTAAGTACATTAGTCACTGATATGAAAATGATGACAAACTAAATGTACTCCATCATTCAAATTTCGGCCTTGACATATCCCTTATGACCTTAATATTATATGTACCAAGCAGAGACTTCCTTTCTTTCCAATTATATAGTGTCTCCTCCCTTACCTGACAAAAATGCGTGGATCATTTATGTTGAACAAAAGAAAATATTTTATGAATTCGTTAACCTTCATCCTTTTTTTTATACAGCATCCAAGGAAAGAGATGCTATCCTTGAAAATACCTAATAGTCATCATTTTAAAGGGCGTTTCATACAGGTTTAGTGAGAATCTCTTCCAAAAAATCATGTTTATATAAATTACATTTATAAAGATTTTAATATTTTTATTATGAAAATCCTAAATTTTATTAAAGTCTTTGGTAAAATTAATTATTATTTAATAGTAGTTTAAATTATAACTGGAAACAGATTAAAATTATTTTAAAAAATTTATATTTTTAAATTTATTATCATAAAATTTAATCAATTATATTTATAAAAATGTAATTGTTTAATGATGTTTAGTGTATAAATAATCACACGATTTAATATTATTATTTTGTATAACAATGTTAAAAAATTATAAATATATGAAACTTGATATTATTTTATCAGAGATTTCAAGGTAAAATCCAGTCATTTGGGTGTGAACAATTAAAAAATAATTAAATCCACCCAATAAACAATTTTAAAAAACTATATACAAATTCATTGTTATTTTAACCTATGTAATTTAATAAAAATTTTTAAAAGTTTGAATAATTGGTAATATAAATTAACAGAATATTTTGAATTATCATTTAACAATATTTGTTAAAATATACTTTATATGCACAATACGGGAATAAAATTATTGTACTGAAAGCTTAATTTTTTAAAAATATTTTAATGATAAGAAAATTTAAATATAAGTTGGAGCCATAATGTAAATTTTATGAAAATGTTCATAGTAAAGAGTAATTCATTATAGTAGATTTAACCCACAATTTACAGGATTAATTGGTTCCACGAAAGACTTCTATAAATTGAATTCATAAATTGAAACTTACATTTATACGGGAAATATAAAACTTTATAACTTACTCCCTATTATCCATAAAAATGTTAGTATCACTATACACAACTTCAATTTACAAAAGAATTTCATATAAATTGAGGTTAAGCATACCACATTTAAGAATATATTTAAAAATTGTATATGAAACTAACCTCTATGTTTTTGTTTTCTGTTTAAGTTTTATATTTATGTTTTTACATTTTTTTCCAGTGGTTATATCAATACATCAATTCATGTGGTTATATCAATACATTTGTATTTTGAGAAGGAACATCGTGCTTCTACAATTCACTGCACTGTTCCGTAAATATTCCAAAATAAATTTATTTTGAAGGGCCAGTTTTACATTCATTCCTATTACAATTTAAGAAATTAAATTTTTAAATGATATATTAATATATGTTTATAAACAGTAGATTATTATTAATGAAATGTGATTGAACAGATGTGGAAAATCATTTATAAAAAAATTACATAAAGTAATAACATTATCAAAACCTATTTAAAATCAACTTTTTATTTACCTTGTCAGCATTGCTTCATCATAATGACTAGGAAATTGCAATTGTATCTTAGATATATTTCTTGGTTCATCAAGAATGTACCTAAGACATTTTAGTGACATTATAGAATTGAAAGACACTTTAAATGTAACTTTTAATTTTTAAACTTATGAACTCTAATTAATGCAAGTTATTTAAATAAATAAATCACAGTAGAATGTATGTCATGTCCTGTAATTTGACACTCCACTTCAGGGACACAGATGAAAGTTGTGTGTTATCACTGGATGTATGCAACAGAGAGAGTGATATATATTCTGTATGCTGTTAATCACTGTTTGTTGCATATGAAGTCAGCAAAAATCAAAATTGTGATTCCATACAGTATGTACATACATACAAATTTCAGTAATCCAACACCCACCAGTCCAATATATGTCAGATTACAGACAGACTACTGTATTTGATTTTCTATAATATATATAAATTATAACAATCTTAATTTTCAAAGACTTCAACTAGGAAATCATTTTCAAAAAGGGATTTATTTAATAAAAAATAGTTTTTAATTTTTCAAATAACCCATACATATATTATTGTTAGTAATGATAAATATTCCATCTAATGATAAGATAGAAGGAAGAAAGGAAAAGAAAAAAATATATAATTGTAACTTTTTATTATCTTCAAAAATTTCTATCATCATGGAGTTATTTAATACAGAAATAATGTACAATTTATATACAGATATGTCTGTGTAAGAATTGAATAAAAATTAACAATTTAAATAATTGTGTATACTATAAAAATTACATTATAGTGTTAGATAGTTATAATTAACAACAAACAATGATTTAAACCAAATGTATAGTAAAACTTTGTTATATTTTCATAATATGGAAAATACTTGTTTAATATATTTATAATCTTCATATTTTTTAATTGAAATTAGCTTATTCAAGTGAAGGCACCTCTGCTGTATTGATTATAAAGTTATGAAAATTATTAAATAATTTTGAGTTATTTTTTTTTTATTTACATATTATGTCTATTTGAATATAAAATAATCAAGTTCTGAGATATTTTCAAGTTCTTAATTTATATAAAAACAAACTTATAAATTTCTTTTCTACATCTATAATAATTTTATTAGGTGACAGATTTCATAAATTTATATCTTAAGTTTTAATTGAATTGTTTACAATGTTTTTGCAATAAAACATTTGTATAAAATGAGGTTATCATTTCTATTTTCCTCTAGTATATATTGTATTTAGCAAATAGATTTCATAACAAGAAATTATTTTTAATGTCATTTAGAAAAGTTTTATGTAAGTAAAAGAATTTGTTTTAAATTTTTAAATCCTTTCAATTAATAAATGAAAATTAAATTAACCATGTTCCTTAACATTAAAAATGACATCATATTGTTATATAAAAGTTCACCAAAAATCTTTAAGCTTTAGCAACTAAAAAATTTATGCAAAATAAAAATAAAATTTCATTTTTTTAAATAAAATATATAATTTTAATTATCATCTCATAAAAAATTTACAACTTTTATATAACAAATACAAATAATTTAATGGTTTACAAAACTTCTACATTTTTCTTTTAATTACACAATTTTATAAAACAAATAATTTGAAAATATTTTAACAGCAATAATTACTTTTTTTTTATATAATCAAATATTTACATTTTCAGTTTAGCTAACTGCTTCTCAATCTCATCATCCGTAGGCAGATTAACTTTGGAGCTCTCTCCCAATTTACTGTGGTGAGCGGACGGAGCTTCAGACATCTATTAAAATTAATAAGATGTACATAAATACAAAAGATTTTCACTAAAGAGAGAAATTCACTTTACACATTTCTTTATACTAAGTTAAAATTTAATTAAGTATTATAAATGTTTAAATTATAACAATCTTAAAAGTTTAACTGTAATAAAGAGCAAATATTTGCTATTAAGAATTAAAATATAAACTAATTTTTGATTAGAGAAATATATTAAAGTTTCATATTTAAAAAATTTTATTTATTTTCCAACCAATGAAAGTTATCACTTTTATATAGCAGTTTATAAAGCACATTTCTCAGAAATCAAGGTTTTACTAGTACATAACACGGCTTATTCATATCTCTACAAAAAAAAGAAGCTTTCTGGATACATAAAATATTTTTTAAAATAAATGAAAATTTTTCTTTTATATTTACTACATATAATTTTAATATAAATAAAAAAATATTAGTTTTATACACATGGAATCATTCTGTATAAAATTTAAAGGACAAGAACAAAGTTATTTAATAACAAAATAAAATCAAGGAATGAATAAGAATAAAATTTTGTATGATTTTATGCCTTTTACTTAGTATTTTCTTATTTTTTAATACTGGTTAAGAAATTTCATATGTAGTTATCATGACAAAGATTTTGTCCATTTTTCTCTTCTCAACCCCGAAAAATAGTTAACACTCCCTTTCTTTTCTTATGATGTTTGGTACATTGTTTGAATCATTATGATAAAATATTCTGATATTTATAAGTTTAAGTAAAGATGTTATCTGTGGTTTCTCATATGAATGCATGTAACAAAGGATAATTAAGTAAATAAAAAATCTTTTGACAATGTTAATATTAGTTAATAACCATTTTCAAAAAACAGGATCTAGATTATACATTATAAAAACTAAGAAAAAGAATTTAGGTTAAATAAAAATAGCTTTTACAAAGATTATATTAACTCAAAAATATTTTTAATCTTTTACAACGATTATCTTTTATGAATACATTGGAAACAGAAAATTCAAGGTTTCTAGAAGGAAGGTAAATTCTTGCAGCAAACTTTCTCAAAATTTTTATAGATATTTATACATCATATAATTATAAGCATTTATGTCAACTTTTATTAACTTATAAATCTATGAATTTGTTAAATATTATAATAAAATTTATTTTCTCACTTTGGAAATTTCAACTAAAGAGAAGTTGCTTTGACAATAGAAAAAAATTGTAAATGCATATCACTATAAAAGTAAGTTTTAAATAAACTTGGAAATAATGTTTTGGATATACTAAAAATTGATATATACAGGTATTCCTACACATGGTTGAAGAATTGGGGAAATCCCTATACAACATGGTTTGAGAATTGGAGACATCCTGTAGAAAATGTCACAATTTTTAAGTACGAACGTCATCATTCAATATTTGTTTATTCAAAAATGCTTGTTGTCTCATATTTGCCCCCAGATTTTATAATATTGAAATTTTCAATGTTATTTCATGTCTTTCAGGTTGGTTTTCATTAATGAGAACTAACTGTACAATTTTTCTTTTTCCTTCTCCTACAAACCAGGTGTGATAGTCATTGGTGATACTGCTCTAACTAAAGTCAAAAGAATATTGCTATGTTTTGTTTTTATAAATTAAATTAAAAGTTATTACACAAAAAGATTAAATTTTTAAAAAATATCTTAGGCAAACACAAGTAAATAAAAATATCAGGCTTTACAAAAAAAGCAGAAAAAAATCAAGATATTGCCGATACTTCAAGATTAAAGTCAAAAGCTCAAATGATATTTTGCCAAAAAGAAAATGTCCTTGTTTAACAGAGTTTAGCAGTGAAGAAAAAATTAATATTAATGTGCAATACTTTTGACTGTGATTGTTAGTTAAAACAATGAATAATTAAGAGAAAAATTCAAATTGAATTTTTCCTAATTTTTACTAATTTAAGAGAAAAATTCAAATTGAATTTTTCTCTTAAATTAGTAAAATTGTTGGTGTGACATCCACTCTGTTTTTAAATTATTTAACAAGATGATTGTTTCAATAAACATATTTATCTTATTACAGAAAATTGATTTTAGCCTTAAGTATAATTAAATTAATTAAAATNGTTTTACATTCATTCCTATTACAATTTAAGAAATTAAATTTTTAAAAAATATCTTAGGCAAACACAAGTAAATAAAAATATCAGGCTTTACAAAAAAAGCAGAAAAAAATCAAGATATTGCCGATACTTCAAGATTAAAGTCAAAAGCTCAAATGATATTTTGCCAAAAAGAAAATGTCCTTGTTTAACAGAGTTTAGCAGTGAAGAAAAAATTAATATTAATGTGCAATACTTTTGACTGTGATTGTTAGTTAAAACAATGAATAATTAAGAGAAAAATTCAAATTGAATTTTTCCTAATTTTTACTAATTTAAGAGAAAAATTCAAATTGAATTTTTCTCTTAAATTAGTAAAATTGTTGGTGCGACATCAACTCTGTTTTTAAATTATTTAACAAGATGATTGTTTCAATAAACATATTTATCTTATTACAGAAAATTGATTTTAGCCTTAAGTATAATTAAATTAATTAAAATATCTATAACCATAAGGCAGATAATAGGAAGGGCTTATCACACCAATGATAATGATAATCTGGCTGCATCATATGTTGTCACCACTTGTGCTCCAGATGTGTAAGGTAACACATCTCCTTTGTAACTGCTCCTTNAAGTTCTGAGATATTTTCAAGTTCTTAATTTATATAAAAACAAACTTATAAATTTCTTTTCTACATCTATAATAATTTTATTAGGTGACAGATTTCATAAATTTATATCTTAAGTTTTAATTGAATTGTTTACAATGTTTTTGCAATAAAACATTTGTATAAAATGAGGTTATCATTTCTATTTTCCTCTAGTATATATTGTATTTAGCAAATAGATTTCATAACAAGAAATTATTTTTAATGTCATTTAGAAAAGTTTTATGTAAGTAAAAGAATTTGTTTTAAATTTTTAAATCCTTTCAATTAATAAATGAAAATTTTTCTTTTATATTTACTACATATAATTTTAATATAAATAAAAAAATATTAGTTTTATACACATGGAATCATTCTGTATAAAATTTAAAGGACAAGAACAAAGTTATTTAATAACAAAATAAAATCAAGGAATGAATAAGAATAAAATTTTGTATGATTTTATGCCTTTTACTTAGTATTTTCTTATTTTTTAATACTGGTTAAGAAATTTCATATGTAGTTATCATGACAAAGATTTTGTCCATTTTTCTCTTCTCAACCCCGAAAAATAGTTAACACTCCCTTTCTTTTCTTATGATGTTTGGTACATTGTTTGAATCATTATGATAAAATATTCTGATATTTATAAGTTTAAGTAAAGATGTTATCTGTGGTTTCTCATATGAATGCATGTAACAAAGGATAATTAAGTAAATAAAAAATCTTTTGACAATGTTAATATTAGTTAATAACCATTTTCAAAAAACAGGATCTAGATTATACATTATAAAAACTAAGAAAAAGAATTTAGGTTAAATAAAAATAGCTTTTACAAAGATTATATTAACTCAAAAATATTTTTAATCTTTTACAACGATTATCTTTTATGAATACATTGGAAACAGAAAATTCAAGGTTTCTAGAAGGAAGGTAAATTCTTGCAGCAAACTTTCTCAAAATTTTTATAGATATTTATACATCATATAATTATAAGCATTTATGTCAACTTTTATTAACTTATAAATCTATGAATTTGTTAAATATTATAATAAAATTTATTTTCTCACTTTGGAAATTTCAACTAAAGAGAAGTTGCTTTGACAATAGAAAAAAATTGTAAATGCATATCACTATAAAAGTAAGTTTTAAATAAACTTGGAAATAATGTTTTGGATATACTAAAAATTGATATATACAGGTATTCCTACACATGGTTGAAGAATTGGGGAAATCCCTATACAACATGGTTTGAGAATTGGAGACATCCTGTACAAAATGTCACAATTTTTAAGTACGAACGTCATCATTCAATATTTGTTTATTCAAAAATGCTTGTTGTCTCATATTTGCCCCCAGATTTTATAATATTGAAATTTTCAATGTTATTTCATGTCTTTCAGGTTGGTTTTCATTAATGAGAACTAACTGTACAATTTTTCTTTTTCCTTCTCCTACAAACCAGGTGTGATAGTCATTGGTGATACTGCTCTAACTAAAGTCAAAAGAATATTGCTATGTTTTGTTTTTATAAATTAAATTAAAAGTTATTACACAAAAAGATTAAATTTTTAAAAAATATCTTAGGCAAACACAAGTAAATAAAAATATCAGGCTTTACAAAAAAAGCAGAAAAAAATCAAGATATTGCCGATACTTCAAGATTAAAGTCAAAAGCTCAAATGATATTTTGCCAAAAAGAAAATGTCCTTGTTTAACAGAGTTTAGCAGTGAAGAAAAAATTAATATTAATGTGCAATACTTTTGACTGTGATTGTTAGTTAAAACAATGAATAATTAAGAGAAAAATTCAAATTGAATTTTTCCTAATTTTTACTAATTTAAGAGAAAAATTCAAATTGAATTTTTCTCTTAAATTAGTAAAATTGTTGGTGTGACATCCACTCTGTTTTTAAATTATTTAACAAGATGATTGTTTCAATAAACATATTTATCTTATTACAGAAAATTGATTTTAGCCTTAAGTATAATTAAATTAATTAAAATATCTATAACCATAAGGCAGATAATAGGAAGGGCTTATCACACCAATGATAATGATAATCTGGCTGCATCATATGTTGTCACCACTTGTGCTCCAGATGTGTAAGGTAACACATCTCCTTTGTAACTGCTCCTTGCATCTTGTAGAAATGTCTGAACCTGCAACTCTGTTGTTCTACTGTTTTTGGTATGTAAATAATTTAAACTGACTGTATAATAATATTTCATAACTGTTAACCAATATTTCAGCTAACTCATAACTATTTTTGTATCAGCACCCTGTTCATCATGTTACCATGCAACATTAAGAAGAAATGTTAATCCTGTCTACATTGATAATGCTTACTGCTCATACAGTCATGGCGATGGTTTCATCTTTATATTGTATAGTTTTAGGCATAGTTTTAAGTTTAAATTTAAATTTGATATTTTTTCACCTTGTATAATTTTAAGTATACTAAGACTATTACCAACTGATGAGGGACTATTTTTCCATTGGAAAATAGTCCAAAATGCATTTTGGATTTTTACGGTTTTTACACTTATGTAATCATCTTATTGTAACCCCTTCTTGTTTTATTAAATTTTTACTTTGATTCTTGAGCGTTTGTGCCCATTATCATTGGTGTGATAAGCCCTTCCTATTATCTGCCTTATGGTTATAGATATTTTAATTAATTTAATATTTATCTTAATTACAAAAAAGAATAGTATACTTTTGCTTACTTTTAGAACCTAACCACCATGTTACATAGGGGATATCAATATTCTTTTTAAAAATAGCTACCCATTACAATGCACAAAATTAAAATTAATTTAGTTTCAAGTAAGTCAATTTTAAGCATTTCTAAAGCTACAAAGACCACTTCAGTATCTTTATTCAAATTTTATATTCATAGACAGCTTGGGTATAAATTGAAAGTATAGAAAATTCTAAAAATAGACATGATACAGTATATTTGGATAAGAAAATTCTGACTTGTAAAATTAGATTTCCTTTTTAATGTATTAAGTAACTAGTAAATACATTTTTATCCCTCAAAAAATATTCATATTTAGCCTTTACAAAAATATATATTTAAGTATTAATATATTGTTTTTAATAACATTTTATCATTTAAGATAATATAAACTGTTTTATAAAATTTATTTTAAGAAAAGATTTAGAATTTAATGACCTTCTCTGGAAAGGCTTTATAAAATCATACAATATTTATACTTTAATGTGCAATCATTTCATTACTAAGATAATGAAATAGTCACATATTCAAGTATAAAGCTGTATGATTTTATATGGTTAAGCAATTTGATACTTAAATGCAATGTAGTTATAGTTTGTTATATTATTTGACAATATCAGACCACCACTGAATAGCATCACATTAATAAAATACAAATTAAACCTCATTAACCCAGAAAGCTTGGAACAAGACAGGTACTAGAGTAGTGGATTTTCCAAACCAGTGAAGCTTAGAGTAAGTACTGGTAAAATAATGCATATACTGTAGTGTTTTAGTACTAATATCAATACAACTTACATAGACACAAACCTAGTCCTGTGGTACAAGTTTACTGTATTGTGACAAAAATATTAGTAATAATAAACAGTTTAGTAGAAAAAAAGATCAAAAAATAAACCTACTAATACCTGTAAAACATAAAAATTATGAACAATTTATTTACCTTAACTTTTATACTACATAAATCCATTTTCAAAATGTATTTATGCAATCTGAATTAAAATCAAGTTTTACCTAGTAGGAGAAAACGTGCTGACTTATTTCAATATAAATATTTAAAATCACAAATTGGCTACTTTTCATATAATCAAAAAAAATAAGAGAGCTATTGCCAATGATAACAAAACAGACCTTGGCATATTTTTTTAATTTTGAAGTCAAAATCAACTGCTGTAAGTCCTTACATTATAAAACTGCAAATCATTTTGTATATCTCAACATTAAAAATGTAATAATTTCAGTTTTCACAATGTAACACTGAACAGCTGGTCAAGCAGCAGTCATGCAAACTAATGACCATCAGATTCAAATTACAATCCTGGACCATCAATGCTGCCAGACTAGTAAATCTCTGATTAGTGAGGTTCAACCTATAACATTATATTAAATTTTCATATTGTACAAAATTGAGATTTAAGATTTTCAGAAGTTGAAGAAATGTTTAATATAAAAGATTTTCAATTTGCAGAGAATTAGGCAAATCAATAACAAAACTTTTTGATTATCCACACATAATAAAGATTTTATTAAAAATTCATATATAATAATGCAATGATAACTTCATTACTTAATTATCATCTGTTGATAAGAAAATTTATAAAATAAATTAGCAAATTTGGAATCAGTAAATAAATTTTTTTTTCCACTCATTAAAAACCCTTAAGAGAAATTTTTTACAAAGTAACATACATCAGTGATAATGTGATCTGAAAAATTCCAATAACTTTTAAAAATAAATAAATCATTTAGATCATTTATTAAAATTAATGAAATATAATTATTCCAAATCCGAACTTAAAAATTACAACAAATATAAGTCTACCATCTCGATTATTAGCAGCATTCCAATTTAAAGATAGAAAAATATAAAACAAAAATATGATTACAAAAATTATTGTGTGTTAAACCATACTATCAATAAATGGAATTACAGTAGAACCCTTCTAATCCGTCATCTTTGGGACTGGGGGTATGGTCGGAACGCAAAAAAGATCGGATTATCAGAAAAAAAGTAAAATAAACAATCTTCCCCTTTGTCCAGTCTTTGTAGTACTGCTAATTTTTCATTTAATGAAAGAGTAACGTGTTTACATTTCACTCCTGACATGTTGAAAAACACACAAAACTGTATACGTACACACAATGTAAAACATATACTGTAACGAACACAGAACAACGCGACGGGCGGTGAGTTACTGACGAGTCGGGACAAGTTTTCCGACTCTGACCACGTTCGGATTAACTGGAGCGACGGACTAGCCGAGGGCGGACTAGAGGGGTTCTACTGTAACTCAATAAAAGTGCAAATGCTTGCATAAATTATTAAGAAACCATGTGTGACAAAAACTTCACACCTTCAGCTTGACAGAAAATACCCAAGATAATACAAAAATTAAACATTTCTATTTACTTAAATATTATTGGATATATTCTTATAATTTGCATATTATACAAATAGCAATAGTCATTTGATATAAATGAGTAAAATAAATGGCACCTGGATAAGCAGTAAACTAATATTAGAGAAGTAATTGTAAACTTTCATGAAGCAGAAAATCCTTGCACCAAATAGCTACAAAGCTAAAAATTGATAAATAAACAGTTTGATATTATAAAAAGTAAAACAAAACTGATAGATTGACCCAGGACAACTGAAAATTATAGCAGCTTCCAATCTCAAGTTCTTGTGCAAAATTATGAAAGAAAACTGGTGAGCATCACTTACAGAATTGATAATTGAATAGAATATAGATGCTAGTAAATAAATTACTAAAGAGTTTTATTGAATATATTTGTAGAAACTTAACTACAAGTTTCATCAGGTAAAACAACAGTGCAATATGACAGCATGAGAATGTAATGGCTGTGTGTCAACATGTGATGTTTTTCAAGGTAAGAAAAACTTTTGGTAACTAATACTCAAACAAAAAATTGACTAAAGGAAAGGAAAGTCAAAACTGCATGCAACAATTATGGAACAGCATTGTTTTACACAATAAAACCAAGTTTGAAATTTGCATCAAAAGCAACAACAAAATATGCATGAATTCTTTCATTGTAAATGTTTTAATTGTGCAATCAAGTTCCCAGAAAGCATCGTGGAATTATGGAGTTGCATGTCTGCTCAAGGTTCTAGCACTTTGCATTTTATTGATGAAACAGTGAATTCAAAAAAATATTAGCAAATGGAAGAAAGTTTTCTTCCATATCTGGAAAAACTACAAAACCCAAATATAATTTTCCAATAGGATAATGCGAGTTGTCAAACTGCCAAAACAACAAGGGCATGGCTTGAAAATTACAATAGTATACTGTATACTAAGTTGGCCATCTAGCAGTCTAGATTTTTTTCCATTGGAATTCTATGGGGAAGATCTCAACAACAGTGACTAGATTATGTCAAAAATCCAGGAAGTTTGGGATGGAATTAATCAAGATGAGTGTCATGCTCTTATTAATACAATATGTGAACATGTACACAATGCAGTAATTTCTATCATTGCTAGAGGTGTCACTTAATCTTTCATCAAATATTTATTTCTATAAAATTAATGCAAACATTTGCATTTTTATTGTTATTTATGTTAATGAATATCACAGTTTAATACATAATAATTTTTATAAATAAATTTATTGCCTGTTTTTCTTTTACTTCATTCAATATATATAACAGTTTAAAATCAAGAAGTGTCTAAGAAATTTTTGTTTAGGGTGTATATAAATTATTTTCTGATACATTATATATTTTCAGTTTGTCACTATGATATGTGTAAAAGTGTTACATTGGTTAATACAAAGTGATTCTTCCATTCTATGATTTCTTTTATAAACTGAAAATATATTTTAAATATAAAAAACCTATATAAATTATAAATTACAAACACAAAACATACTTTTCCAGATATTTCAATTCCAATTTCATCTAAAACTTGGGTTACAATTGCTTCTTGTTCTTCTTCATCTCCAGATTCATCCAGGATACCATTTAATGTATCATCCACTGTTTAATATATTATAATATATTAATTATGATAAAATTATTATTATTTAGAAATTTAATAATGCATAATTTGTAATATATAAATATAATTCAAATAAAAAAATAAACTAAATAAAAATGTTCTATTTTTTATTACGAAGTTTAAAAATTTCTTTATCATTAGTAAAGCTTGAACATTGCTCCTAAATGTTTATTTTGTTTCTTTGGTTCAACTTTAGGGCTTTTTGTATCAAAACATACATCAGCTGATGATGATGATGAGTGATATATCAAAATTTAATAATACCTATTCTATTTGTTACAGCCGATTTCTCTGATAAGTGCCTGAAGTTTCTATACTTTATCATATTTTCTGAAAGTTACTTATTTTACCTTGGCAAACTTCAACTATAAACAATTTCAAATTTAAAATCAATTAATCCTTCCCAAAATTTTAATTTCATTCTGTAAATTGTAAGAAAAATCAGTTGACTAATAATGATTTTAAAGACAGTATAAATAGGCAATTTCTGTTTTATATCTCTAATCTGTATTTTCTAACAAAGTATTGTGCCTTTTGTACTGTAAGTATATTTAACATTAAACATGTTCACATTTTTTATTTAGTTGAATTGTATATGCACATAAATGATATAGCTGGTATATTATTCAAATCAGATAATATTTGAAGTTTTCAAATGCCTGTTTTCATATTTAAAATTTCAAAATATTGTAAATTGACTATTGTATCTGCCTGTTTATAATATCTAAGCACTAAAAATCATAGCCATAATGATTAAACATTTACAGCATATAAACATATTAAAACATATATATGCATACATGCAATGAAAATTATTAAAATGTCATTTTCAAAGTTGTGGTTATAAATAAATTTCTAAGAAAACATAATGAGATTTTTATGAAAATAATTTAAAAATGTCCTTAAAAACTGAAAAACTTCCGATTGCCCATTAAATTTATAATTTTATATTTTATTATATATACATTATGTTTATATGCTATAGATAACTAATGATTAAGAGGTTTGAACATCTAAGCACTAAAAATCATAAATAGGAAGGCAAAATAGGCATTTAGAAGTTCAAAATATGCAAATTATTGGTACTAATATGGAAAATAAACTTTTAAAAAGCCTCAAATATTAATTTAAATTCGAAAGCTTCAAATTTGAAATAAAAAAATAAAATTTTAAACAATTTTTATTCAAAGAAAACTTTTCAATGATATTGGCAAAATTCGTAAGCAGTTTATCTAACAGAAAAAAATTTCAATTTACACTAAAATTTAATAATTTATCATTTTAAAATTTCATTTTAAATTTTGTTTCACTTATAATTTAAATTTTAATCTAATGATAAATATAGTCAGTCAAAATAAATACTAACTTATTTTTAAAATAAATATAGATACAATAAAAAAAAAAGTACTAAGAGAATTAAGGTTCAATTTTCAGTTAAGTTTTTTATAATTTAGTATTAAATCAAAAATTGAAATTATAAAATTATGAATGAAATTTTTTAAAACTAGACAAGATTTCATATTTTAATAAACTTACCATATTTACTCGCATATAAAATGAGGTTTTTATTCATTTTTCACTACTTCAAAAACCTAGGTCATCCTATATGCACGAGCAAAGCTTTTTTTTGGGGTTTTTGCAATAATTTTTGTGAACCACGCATTTGCATTTTTTACTGGTTGCTCACCTTCTGGTGTTTAGAAACGAAAGTATTTTATCTAGGTCGTTTCAATCGTTCTTGTGCATTGCCAGGAGTAAAGATGAATAGCAATAGGAAAAGCAAAGCTTTTGAATTAAATTTCAAACTGAAATTCTAAAATCACATGAGAGCCCGCTATAAGTTTTAATCCATTTCCACGTGAAAACAGATGATTATTCAGAAATCAGAATTCTGAGAAACTTGTAAGTGTAATTGAAGGAGAGTGGATTTGACTGTTTAGAATTGGCAAAAAAAGTTCTCAATTGTTCAGTGTTACAAATACAAATTATGTTGTGAATTTTACAAGATTTTTCCTTAAAGTTTAATATGCCAGTTTTTTTGTGGGACAATGTGTGCATTTACATGCATTTGATAGTTTATTTCTGATTAAAGGAAATAAAATTAGAATTGTATTAATAAATCTAATTTTCTTTATTTTGATCTTTAGAGTCACACCTTGTCCTATTGAGATCATCATATATATGAGTAAATATGATATATAAAATTGTTGAAAAAATTAAATATTTAAATTTCTCAAATTACTTAAATTTCTAATTTTGCTTATTACAGGACAAGGAAATAAATATTAAAATACATAGAGTGTAAATTTATGATAAATTTTAAGAATATGAAAAAAATTAACAGTAAAAAAAAATGAATATATTAATACCAACCTATTTCTTCAGCCATTCCCATTTTAGTACTTTCTTTTTCAAAGTCTTGCATAGTCTTCATAACTTGTTCAGGCTTCATTTGTTTGTTAACTGCTGCCATTGTCTAATTATAATTTAAATCATCATTACAATTTCAAAAAGTAGTATAAACTATTAAAAAATATTTATGAAAAGATTAAAATCAAAAATTTCTCCCCAAACTTTAAATAACTAATTTAAATAATGTGAAAAAGTACTTATTTCAAATAAAAACAATTAACTTCACTATTTGTAACTAAATTATTATATATTTTAATATTCTTAAAAGGTTATGATCATTACTTCTCAACATAAAATATGGGTATTATATACTGCATCTATATTTAAATAATTACATCATATATTATATCTTACAAAAATAAACAATATATGTAAAATTAACAAGAAAATTTTTTAAATTTAGTAAATAAAAGTACATTTTAATAAAAGTCATAATGCTACTTATTAACTTCAAAATAATTTATATGCAAGTCTGATTAAATATGTTTCAATCTAAAATTTGATTCATTTATTGACAAAATGCAGTATAAATATTATATAAAAATATGTTTTTTCACATATAAATTTATTAATCAATAATCAAGAATTTATAGGAAATAATAAAATAAAAAAAAAAAAAGGATAAAATAATTTTACAGTAAATTCAATCTCTATACATTGATAAAGAAAGCATACTTAATTAGGGTATAATTTTCTGAAAACAAATATTCAAAGAAAACAGTTTATTATATGTAAATTCTTGTTAGGATTTTCAAAGTCAATATATTTCCAATTTTTGTCTTTTTGACTAACTTTTTTGCAATTTTTGGAAGAAAATGAAAATCATCACTTGGATAAATAATATACTTAAGAGTATCAGATTGGAAACCAAGTTCATTTAACAAATAACCACATCTTTAAGCTCTTTTCCAGCATAGATTTTTCTTTTGACAAACATTTTTCAGCTTTATAAGCCTGCCTCAGTCAGGTCTATCAAGAATTCAAAACTTTCTTTGAAAGTTTGAAAATGTTTGTCAAAAGAAAAACGTGTCTAACAATGTGGTTATTTGTTAATTGGATAAAAAGTTTTAGTAAAAATACATGCAAATTTGAATTTTTGCAATAGTAAAAAAATGCAGTTTAATAATGACATTTTAAAATATTTTTCAAATTTCAGAAAATCAAAATTAAATAATAATTAATACTATATAAAAATTAGTTGTTTATTATGCTATATTGCTTTATAAAACATTTAGAATAAATTTTACCTTTGAAGTTTTAGACATGGCAGATGCTAAGCTGGCATTAGCTTGTATACTCTGGAAAAACAAATATGTTGAAATTATTAATATTTTCTATTTTCTGTTAAAGAATGAACACATTAATATATACACTCATTTAATAACTAATTAGTCACAAGTCACAATGCCTTTATCATTGATGCAATTTATTGTCAAACATTATTAAAATATTTATACAGCAGCAAATATTCTGTGATTATTATATGACGGAATGTTCATATATATATATATATTATATGAATAATAATTTATGAGAGCATAAATTACAATAATAGATAAGTATAGTAGGTCTTATTACATGGGATTGGTAAATACCAGGAGTTCCCAGCCTTTTTCTTGCATTGATCCCCCACATAAAAAATATTCTTTTCAATCAACCCCCTTAAAATTTTTATGTCATTTCCCAAGATTTTCTATAATATATCAAGTAAATTATTAAACCAGTTAATGAATTTCCCACAATTATTATTATTATATTGGGTTTAGTGAGTTATACTTGGTTGACACTGGTTGATGTATACTATGCCGGACCAGAGTCAAGGCATAGCAACTAAAACAAGACAAAATTTAAATAAGTGTGTCAGTATGTGCGCATCTGTATTCAGGAATTTCCTGACAATATGATGTGTATTCAATATACTGGCCTTCTGTATTGTAGATGTATGTATTTCTATTCAATTGTAATGATCCCAGGCTTTTGTGAGATATGACACCTGTAGAGGAGAAAATGACAGGTACAATAAGCACCCTCCTCCACAGATGCCTTATTTCCTGCACTACAAACAAATACAATCACTGTTTGTATATTGTGTTTGGAATGGATATGTCTATAATGTATGTGATTTTATTGTGCTTGTCAATGAGTGTGATGTCTGGTCTGTTGTGATAAATTGTTTTATCTGTGATTATGGTTCTGTCTTAGTACATTTTGTGTGTGTTGTTTTCCAATATTGTCTGTGAGATGTATTTGTAGTATGGTTCATGGACATCTAATAATTTGTGTTTGTTTGCAAGCTCTTGGTGTATTATATTTGCTACTTGATTATGTCTGTGTAAATAATCTGTCTGTGCCAAGAGCTTGCAACTGGAAGTGGTGTGTTGTATAGTTTGTCATGATGTGACATTTGTGAGTGTTGTATCCGAGTATGTGTTTTCTGTAGTTTTTAATATTTATGAGCTAATCCTGTAAAGCAATCATGAATCCTTCTGTCTCCCCAAAGAGGCATTCCCAAATTAACCAGCTGTTTGATGCAGTTTTGTCAACAAAATCCTGGGCCAGGTCTTAAGGATGCCTGCCATAGAGTGCCTTTTGAGCTCACGATTGCTTAATGGTGTCTATGCATTTTATATGTTGTGTCATGTTCATATGATGTGAGTGTAAGTTTAATGATGTGTTATTTGAGTTTGATAGAGTTACTGCTTTATGTAACTGTGATGTTTCTTGTTTTTTGTAGAAAAACTCTTGCAGTGACTGTGTTTGTAGGGAAAATTTACTATGTTGATCAGGTAAGTCCGCCATCTTTACATGGAGGGGTTAATCTAGCAGTTCCCAAAGTGTGTGCCGCAGCACCATGAAATGTTATACAATTTTTATAATTTTACTTAATTTAAAAAATATTGGCTATTTTGCAAATTGTACTTGTTAGAATTTGACATACGGTGCGTTGGAAATATCTGGATTTAGCAAGGGCACCACGAATCAAAAAAGTTTAGAAACCACTGGGTTCATCTTTCTGTGGCGGATTTAGGATGATGTTGTTTATGCTTAGTAAGTGTTGTTCTTGTTTTCCTTTGGAGTTGCTCAAGATCTGTGCGAGTCCAATGTATAACTCCAAAAGAATATGCGAGTACTGGGATGACATATGTGTTTATTGTTTTTACTGTGTTTTGCATTTAACCATGTTCTGAGAATGGCATTTAACCTACTTTGGTATTCTTTAATCTTTGTTTTATTTGTGTATGTTACGTTAGTTTGGCCTGTTGAAATCCTAAATTATTGTAAAACTCACCCTCTTCCATGGATTCAATAACATCTCCATTTCCAAGTGCAAATTCTTCTTTCTTCAGGACTCCTTTTTCTATGCAAAGTGTTTTGCATTTGTCTAGGCCAAACTCCATTTGTATGTCCTTGATGCATGAAATGTGTGATTTGTAGGAGTTGATGAAGTTGTTTTTGTGTGGATGCATAAAGTTTTATGTCGTCCATGTACATGAGATGTGACAGTGTAAACTTTGTTGTTTTTTTATGTCTGATATTGTAGCCATATTGTGTGTTGTTTAATATGTTGGATAATGGGTTCAGGGCTAGGCAGAACCAGAGAGGACTCAAGGAATCTCCTTGAAAAATTCCTCGCCTAATGAATATTTGGTTTGTTTATAAGGAAGCGTTATGAACCCTGAGATTGTTCTCCAGTACTGCATAGTATTTTGGAAGAATGCAATGAGTGATGGATGTATTTTGTACACGTGTAGAATATGTAGCAGCCAACTGTGTGGAATGCCGTTGATTACTTTTCTGTAGTCTATATATGCCATGTGTATGTTTCTGTGTTGTTTGTGGAATGACTGAATCTATGAGTAACTGTTCTTTGCATCCCGTGATTTCTACGGCAACCTTTTTGTTGTTCAATAAGAATGTTCTGTTCTTCAACGTGTTTGTATATTCTGTTTGCGATACATGCTGTCAATTTGTAGTGTATTGGAAGGCATGTAATTGTTCTGTATTGTGTAGGGTCTGTGGTATTGTTGTTTCTAGGTTTCATGTAGGTGATGCCCTGAGTTAGAAATTTTGGCATCTCTTGTGGATTGATGATATGTGTTAAGTGTTTAGCTAGTTCCTGGTGCAGAAATGTAAACTTTTTGTACCAGAAATTGTGAATGTTGTCTACACCAGGTGTCTTCCAGTTGTGTGTTCCATTAACAGCATATTGGACATTGTGTATGCTTATTTCAGCACAAGGCATAATTGGTATATTGTGCAAGTTTTTGTTTTCCTCCTCAATCCAGCCTGCATCAGCATTGTGTGTGATAGCACTGGACCAAAGAGAAGACCAGTAAGTTGTGAGTTCTTCTGTTGGTGTGCCACAAAACAAACACTGTGTATCAGTGTTTGTTTTGGTACTGATTTGTCTGTAAAAGAGTTTTTCATTGTTTGTAAATAATTTATTTTGTTGTTTTTGTAGAGTAATGTTTTGCATCATTTGAGTCTACATGCTTTGGCTGCAAGTTTTTGTTTTAGTGTATCAAAGTATTCTGTAATATGTGTTGTGCTGTTCATGTTTTGTGTGTGTTTTTATTTTCTTGAAAATGTTTTTGAGTTGTTTCTTTAATTTTGCTGTTATATTGTTTTTAATGTGTGTTGTGTCAGCTTGACTAATTGTTGTCTAATGTCATTTATTTGTGTTTCTATTCTTCTCTGCCAGGCAGGCTTGTGATAGAATTGTGTTTTGTGTGTATCTGTCTGAGATTGTATTTTCAGTGCATGATATGTCACTACTGTGACTGCTCCAGCATAAACTAATGTGTGAATATATGAGTGTGTAGAAATTAAATGGATGTAGTGTGGTAGTAAATGAGTGTTTACATAATTTAGTGTTTTTCCTACTACCTTTGACATGTTAATTTTTGGTATTCGTGATCTTTGTGTGGAATCTGCACCTGTATATTTAGTGAGTGTTTCCTGAAATATAAATGAGAGCGTATTAACTAAATCTATGTCTATGTTATCAGTGGTGGATGAGGAAGTGTCTGTAGTATTATTGGTAGTTGTTATGCTTATGCTATAGTCAGTGCTTGTTGCTGAATTATCCCTACAGGTTATGTGATCTTCATTAATGTTAAATGTTTCTGTCTGTTGATGTATTTGATCAGCAACCTGTTGTTTGATAAGTTTGAGTGTTATTTGTGGGATTAGTTTGTTGTGTATAATTGTTCTTTTTTGATCGACAACCCTTTGTTTGGTGACAGTGAGGTGAGGATATTGTTGTGTGAATCTATGGTGTAGTTGTTGTCTGTATGCTGTCATCTTTGTTTCGAGTCTTGTGATGGTGTAGTAAGTATGGATGATAAACTCTTTCATTTCTGGTGTCTATTTCATCTGTTGGCGTGCTTTTCCAGCCTTTGTGGTCTGTGATGCATTGCCAATGAAACACCAAGACTAGGTTGGTTCCTCACATCTGTTGAGGGCATTGCAGTAGCCATGCTTGGGCCAGTGCTGCTTTCACCACTGGTAACCAAGAGAGACTGTGGCCTATTTTTCGAATATGAGCCTCTCACTAACCTATGAATGCGGACCTTGTTAACCCAGGCAATGTCTGAGCTGGTATCACACTTAGATCTGGTTACTACCATGATAAATATCTCCACAGAATGGGGAGGTGGTCACTCTTAGCTTCATTTCTCCCCATAGACCTTACTGGCATGGGTATCCCTACCAGGAGCTTGTGCTCCAGCCTGCATTGCCCTACAGATCAGTAAAATTAATGTGTTCTCCACCACGGCCAGATGGTGACCACGAGAGAGTCATTATTATTATTTGAAAATTATCTAAAATTCTCAAGAAAGAATAATAAGTATCTGATTTTTCTATCAATATCAGTGACCCCTTTCAAAATTCCACTGACCCCAGAAAGTCTCTATCAACCCCATTGGTAATCTCTGGTATGGATGGATGGCAAAATGACCATTTGGTTATTATATTAACCCTTGGATGCACAAGATTAATTCTAAGTATGCCAAACAATTGCAGGAATAATTATATTGGCCTATATTAATGCTACTAACTACTAATTTCAAGTGAGTTGGCCTACTAACTATTAAATTTATCAAGAGTTGCCAGTTATTAAGTATTAATTATATACTATCTCTAACTCAAACTACTTGACATTTAATTGGTAATTAATAGCATCAATATAGTCCAATATAATCCAGCAATTGTTTGGCATTAATTGGGATAATCAGCTGAATGCCATTACAGGTCATGGCACTAAAAGCACATCCCTATGGGTATGATGAATAACCAGTATGGTTATCTCTAAATTATTAGTTCTGGAAGTGAAGTTCATAACACATTTTCAGGTGTCATGTTATCCTTTTTCACTTATCTTGTAAAATATGGCTGGTTTTCGGAATTGCAAGATTGGCCTACAAGTACCAGAATTAGATATTTGTAGGGCTCTATACTACTGCATTTGGGCAACTTATTACTTTTTGGGACTCTTAGAAAATAATTTGGGCTACATTTTGAAGAATTCTGCTTTTCTTTTTATAAAATCTATCTGGCAACTTATGAGAACCTCGCAAGTTGCCAGATAGATTTTATAAAAAGTAAAGCAGAATTCCTCAAAATGTAGATTTTACTGTGCTGTTTACCTGCAGTTTATTTATATTTATTATTATTATTATTATTAATTAATTAATTAGTGAATATAACATCCTATATACATAATAATATTCAGTTTGCTTAATAAATTATATCAATTACTTGGCATTTGGCATATTGTACAGAAATATGTAATCTTGGATAATTCGAAGTCATGATTATTTAGTCCCTTGAATTTTGAACTAACTAGGATTTCCTGTGTTAATGTAAATATGCTGACTATTTTTATTATAAAATTCAGTATATATTGTATAATAAAAATATAAGTAACATGTTTTAAACACATTTTATGTTTTTCTGTTAATTGTAAATGGCATACAAATGTCTAAGCATCTGGAACTACTTGGAGTGAAGCATAAATTTATGTAGGCTTTTCAAAAAGTAACAGCAAATTGACAATATTTCACAAAACAAACATCCCAAGCATTTGAAACTCCCACACAGGGAAGATAACATTCTTAGAAAAGGTATTGATTGACATTGATTGGGTAATTGACATTGCCCAATTAAGTATGCCATCTTTATAGATGGCATACTTAATTGAAAGGAAAGCACATACAAACTGACAGCACATCATTAGCTGTTTGCACTGTTGAGGAGAAGCAAGCAATCATCAGATTTTTGTGGTCAGAGGTTGTGAAACCTTCTGAAATTCATAGAAGAATGCTACAACAGTATGGAAATACATTGATAAGAGAAGAGAACTTGGTAAAGGAGTTTAAAAATATGTGAATGTCAATCTGTTATCAGCAGCATTCCAGTTGTCCCACCACAGCTGTCACTGATTGAATCATTCTACAATAGTACAAGTTTGTAAAAAACACTGTCAGTTAAAACAGATGTTTTAACAGTGTCAGTTAAAACAGATGTTTTAACTGACACTGTTTTTTATATAATCTGGAAGCATTAGTTCTCTTATTTAATTAAAGAATTTGCTAGAAAAAAGAGTGAAAGTTGTTTTAAAACTTATTTAAAGAAGTTCTAGCTTTCTGCACATAGAATTGTACTCTCTTGGTTTTTCAGAAAAATATGATTTTATGAGATTTTAAGTGATAATATCAAAATCATATTTTTGTAAATGTACATTTATTTAAATTCTCTGCCTTGTGTGTACTAAGAACATTTTAATCATATCCATTATGTGTTGATATCAGGCTCATAACGGGTTGCTAAGTAATGTGAGAAGGGACCTAACATATCTGGTACACCCACAAAAAATTCCAGGGTTGCTCACTTGGATTTGATCCTGGGTCATCCAGAGTGGCTGATGCCTTTGCTTCCTCGAGCATCCAGCCCTCTCTCTTCATAAATACTTCAATACATACGCTTTTGATATTTACACAAATTGATGAATTATAGACGATTAATAATTTACATTTTTATTTAAATATATTTTATAATTAAGAAACTATTAACTGATAAAAATAAAAATAGGTCTACATAAAATCATTTCCAATTCATAATAAAAAGAAGCATACTTTAGTCTGGGCACTAACTCCAAGTATTTTTGAACCAGCAGTTATATTTCTTGTCTTCTGTTTTCTTACTTGCACTAACTGTTTTGCTAGAATAGTACAAGTCTGTAAAAAAAAATTTTTATTTTTTAAAACAAACTACAAGTTACTTTTTGAAATATTATGATACTAAATGAAGTTCAAACAATGCAAATATCAGAAAATTAAACTATTTTCTTGTCTCTAAATTAAAATTATGTTAATAAAATAGGTATGAATAATAAGTTTAAGTTTTTTTTATAACAGATTTATTAGTCAATATACAATGTAATATATTATTCACATAAAATTGTAATTTTGATGGCAAGGTTTCTTATTGAAAGCTTTTAAACTCACATATAAATAAATTGCTTGACAAGTGAGACTGAAAATAGTTGATAAAGTAACTAAAATTCTTTAAAAAATAACCATGTACTAAGTAATGGTTATGTCCAATGCACTCGCAGCTATATTGAAGTTTATTATTATTGGATTATCATTGGATTTATTTGTGTGTATTTGTTACTTTATTTTTGTCTATGTAAGATTTTCACATTAAAAAAGATAAAAATAAAAATGAATAGATTTTGTCCTTGAATGCCTCATGTTCTTATTTCCAATCCATGGTGGATTTTTTGCTAGCCTGAAAGACAATTTACCTACCTGTTTCATCACACATTTGATTCATAGTTGTTATGACCTTGTTTTTAGATCAACTCTTATAATTTAATTAAGGTTAACAGTTAATCTTTGATAAATACTCCAGTTTACATCAAATCATAGAAATTAAGCAATAGATGCCCAGCTAGAAGTCTTGCCAGAGATGGCAGGAAAGGCCATGTGCTGTTGTTAACTATCCAGGCAGCAATAACTCTAGTCCAAAATTCAAATAAAAGTATCTTTGGTGGTAACACTGAGTATGTGTTTTAAGTGGGAGCATTGTTTTTTAGATGAAAAGTAAACTTGTGAAGTACTTTTCTTCTCCTCTCTAACATGAAACAATAATGCAAATACCACTAAATACTGAACAAAATCATAGTAAATAAACATTCAAGATTGTCCTTGAAACAAGGAAGTTTGAGAAATTTTGATTAAACAACATTTTAGCATTACATAGAATTCCAGACCTATTATATCAGCCAAATATGATGAAATGGAATTTTATTGCCTTATGTATCTCTATACAACATGAATATTTTAGGAAACTTGTTTAAAAGTAAAGCAAACAATAGAATATACATTTTTAATGTTATCTATCACTAAAACTATTTTAATATTATGAGAGTTAGTTCTTTTATTAAACTTATGTAATAAGATTCTCAAAAAATAATTATAATAATTACCATATTTACTTGCATATAAGACAAGGATTTTATTCATTTTTCACTGCTTCATAAACCTAGATCATCCTATACATGCAAGTGAAGGATTCTCTGCATTTTTGCGATAATTTTTGTCAACCCTGTCTTCACATTTTTTACCGGATGCTCGCTCTCTGCTGTTTAAAAACAAAACTATTTTATCTGGGTTGTTTAAATCATTCTTGTTTATTATCAGGAGTAAAGATGAATAGCAATAGGAAAAAAAGCTTTTGAATTGAATTTCAAATTGAAATTCCAAAATCAGTTTACCAGTGGCCAAGCAGTTCTGTTCCCTGAACACTGGGAGTCCGGTCACGAGTTTGCATCTTGCCAGGATGAGCTGGCCACGTGGAGCTTTCCGTATGTTCACTATGTCTGTAATGCCTTAATAGGAGCCAATTACAACTTAAAAAGACCTTCCAGAAGGCATCCCCCGAGGCAGATCGCCCAAGTGTTGCATTACCGTAACTTAACAAAACAAATAAAATTCCAAAATCACACAGGAGCCCAATATAAGTTTTAATCCATTCCTACATGAAAACAGATTATTATTAGGAAATCAGAATTTGGAGAAACTCATAAGTGTAATCGATCGAAAGTGGATTAGACTGTTAAGAATTGGCAAAAAAGGTTCCAGATTGTCCAGTTCTACATTAACAAATTATGTTGTCGATTTTACAAGATTTTTCCTTAAAGTTTAAAATGCTAGTAAATTTTGCAGGACAATGTGTGCCTTTATGTGCATTTGATAATATTTTATTTGTTGTGTATTCAGAAACCGTGTCTTCTTTTATCTGTTTTTATCGTCATGACTAGGTGCATAGATAGACACTGGGCATTTCTACATCATCTTTATTTGGAATATCCTATAGGCCAGTGTTTCTCAACAGGGGCAATATCGCCCCATGTGGGTGTTTTTCCATGTTCAGGAGGCGATTAGTAACAACTTATATTTTGGGGGACAAAAAACAATTTTCTGGACGATATAGTAAAACATTATATTAAGAATAATTAGATATTTTATTCGTTATATTGTACAATAATTAAACAAACAACATTATATTAGTCACTAGTCTATTCAATGAAGTACGAATTTGGCGTTAGCCTTGTCCCTCGGCATCGGGATTTTGTAGTGAAGGGGATGATACTACGTTGAAGTGGGCGATGATTCATTAGCGGTTGAGAAACACTGCTATAGGCTGATATGCATTTAGGGCATAAGCCCCTCATCCATCAGATACATAATAAAACATATCATGAATTTCTCATATTACAAAATGTTTATATTATAATAGGTTACAACATAACGTAACTTCTGGGATTTCTTGTCGGTGGTGTTAACATGTATACAATCCGTTTAAAATTACTTATTTACAGTTAAAATTATTTTACTGTTAAAATACCATTATAGTTTAAATATATTCACAATTAAAAGTAGACTATTATTACAATTAAGGTTTCTTGCACACACTCTTGACGTCCGTTTTAATGAGGTTCTGTTTAATCTCGTTGGCATAATAGCATTTCTTTAAAAACATTTATACGATAAATTAATGTTTCTAATTATTATTACGTTGGGTTTAGTGGGTTATACTCGGTACACACCAGTGGCTGTGTACTATGCCAGACCAGAGTCAAGGCATAGCAACCAAAAACCTAAAATTAAATAAGTGTGTCAGTGTTCATATTCAGGAATTTCCTAACAATATATGGCATGTATTCAATATAGTGGCCTTCTGTAGTGTGACGTATGTATTTCTATTCTATTCTATTCAATTGTAATGTTCCCAGGTTTTTGTGTAGTGTGTGTGGTATCACACCTGTACAGGAGAGAATGACAGGTACAATAAGATCCTCCTCCACAGATGCCTTATTTCCTGGGCGAGTTCTGTGTACTTGCTAATTTTTTCAGTGCATGTGTTTTGAATGTTTCGAGTGTTCGGAATGGCAATGTCTGTAATGTATGTGTTTTTGTTGTGTTTGTCAATGAGTGTGATGTCTGGTCTGTTGTGGTAAATTGTTTTATCTGTAATTATGGCTCTGTCGTAGTACAGTTTGTGCGTGTTGTTTTCCAATACTGTCTGTATTTGTAGTATGGTTCGGGGATGTCTAATAATTTGTGTTTGTTTACAAGCAAAATCATAGTAAATAAACATTCAAGATTGTCCTTGAAACAAGGAAGTTTGAGAAATTTTGATTAAACAACATTTTAGCATTACATAGAATTCCAGACCTATTATATCAGCCANGGCTCTGTCGTAGTACAGTTTGTGCGTGTTGTTTTCCAATACTGTCTGTATTTGTAGTATGGTTCGGGGATGTCTAATAATTTGTGTTTGTTTACAAGCTCTCGGTATATTATATTTGCTACTTGATTATGTCTGTATAAATAATTTGTCTGTGCCAGGAGCTTGCACCCAGATATAATGTGTTGTATAGTTTCTGGCATGATGTGACATTTTCTGCAAGTGTCATTTGTGAGTGTTGTATCTTTGAGTATGTGTTTTCTGTAGTTTTTAGTATTTATGACCTGATCCTGTATGGCAATCATGAATCCTTCTGTCTCCCCAAAGAGGCATCCCCGATCTAACCAGCTGTTTGATACAGTTTTGTCAACAAAATCCTGGGCCAGGTCATAAGGATGCTTGCCATGGAGTCCCTTTTGAGCCCATGATTGTTATTACTATTATTATCATTATTATTGCTGTTGATATTATTATTAGCTTTATTATAATAATTTTAACCAATTGTCATGAATTTTTATGCTTAAACTTTTATTGATGTTTTTTTTGGCTTTTTATTATTTCTTAACTTTCTTTAATTAAATTTTCTTTTGTAGCAATTTGTTTCTTTGTGTAAAATTCTCATGTCATCTTTGTTTAAATTACAATTGTTTATTGTGCAATGTTCGTAAAAAACCGAATTTTTCCTTATATGTTTCAGATTGGCGATATGTTCTTTTAGATATGTTTCTACTTTCCTTTTAGTTTCTCCCATGTAGTTTTTTGGGTTCTTACAGATGCCTGGTATTGAGTAGACTGCATTCGTTATGCTATATATATCTCTTCTATCTTATTGCTTGGTTCAGGTTTGATTTTTTGTATTCTTTTTTTGCAATTTTTCATAAGTTGGAGCAAGTTTTATATTCATTTTGTTGAAGTCTTTATTTATTTCTTCAAAGAAGCCTTTGATGTAAGAAAAAGCTATATATTTTAAGTCTGTTTTCTTGTTTTTGGTTTCATTTGCTCATTCTTATTGGTGATTTTACTTTCCCATTTTTGTATTACTTTGTTCGGTTAACCGTTTAATACGTCTTAACACCACACACAAGAAATCCCAGAAATCATGGTATGTTGTAACCTATTATAATATAAACATTCTGTAATATGAGAAATTCATGATATGTTTTATTATGTAGCTGACGGATGAGGGACTTATGCTCGAAACGTGTATCAGCTATAGGATATTCCAAATAAAGATGATATAGAAATGCCCAATCTCTATCTATGCACCTAGTCGTGACGATAAAAATGAATATTTTATTTGTGTTAAATGAAATAAAATTGAACTGTATTAATATATCTAATTTTCTTTATTTTGATCTTTAAAGTCACACCTCGTCCTATATGAGAGATCATCTTATATGTGAGTAAATACGGTATTTGTCTTAACTGCTGACATTCAATAATATAAATAAATAAATGCTTACTGGAATTCATTATATACAATTAACAAACACCTTTCTCTATTCCAGCACAATGCTTAATGTGTTAAAAACTAAAAATGGTCAAAAACGTTTTTTAACGCATTAAACGTTGTGCTGGAATAGAGAAAGGTGTTTGTTTATTGTATTCAATAATATATTTTATTGTTTTATTATTATTATTACTATTATTATTAATTGTAAATTTTAAAATTATGTTTTAAAATAAGAGTACTTTGATTGAAATCCAAACATATATTTGGTATACTGCATAAGTTGCATATAAAAGAGTTTGTTAATGTTTAAAATGATATAAGTACATTTGCAGTCAACAAAAACACTATTTTTACTTGGATAATGCTTATAAACAAAACAATCACATAATATAAATTAAATATGTCCAAGGTCTTAAAAACAAAGAAGCATATTAGCATTAAACAATATTTTATATTTAGAATGAAAAATTTTAAACAGTGTGAAAGAAGAAAAACTTTCAAAAAGGACTTTGTATGAAAATTATAGCTAATTTTTGTATAAAGAAATACTACTGATATTAAGTACAAATAATATATATATATATATATATACATACTGTTTTATCTCCTCTTTTGGCTGCTTTTTTAATTTCTAATTCCTAAAAAAATAAATAAATATATGTAATGGAAAATATATAAAGAAAGATATAACATTTAAAAAAATGCAAAATGATCTGATAATAATAATTAGTAAACTGTAAATAAATCTTATTTATCACAGATACTTCAGAAAATCAAATAATCACATCATGATATCTAAAATATGATGATATAAAATTAATATTCCAAGATATCACATTTAAGACTATTTCATTCTCTTATAAAATAATTCCTTAGTTTAAGAATAATTAGCTTATTCCATATTCTGTTAACTTTTCAATTATTAACAATTTCCATATCATCTCAATTAATTAAAATTTCAAATTAATCTACATAAAAGCAATACCACCACAACTGACCTCCAATCTATTTCAAAATTAACAAATACGATGTATTTTAGAAGTGTATTGCTAAGTGCACTAAAAGTCATCCTGCTTTATCATTTATAAAATGATAATAAGAACAGTGTGCACCTCTATGGATATGATTAATACATTATTTCATAATTAGATGTTATTTATAAAGTGCATTGCTTTTGAAAATTTTGAAAAACTATTTGTACATAAAATACTTTTCTCGCTTTGTCTTGCATTGTTCAAATTTTAAATGTGTTTATGTATATTTTACATTCATCATTATCTTTTAAATATAATAATTATACTTAAAAAATTAATGTGCAAATTTTCTTTAAGAAAAGGCTAAAAAAATAACAGTTTTTGCAAAAATCAGTGCTAAAAATGTATAAAATAAAACCATCACATGATTCTATTTTGTTAGCTGTTTGTCTGGTAAAACCATCACTTTATTGCACATAAAAGTATACATAGAACACACAAAACTTGAGAAAATGATAGAAAATTCATATCAGTTAGTAACTTTTGGAATCTAATCCATCAGTTTCATAGTTTAAAAATAGAAAAGCATTGCATTTGCAAACACACATTTGTTCTACATTCTCCATGGTCAGCTACAGACAACAGGAGGGAAGTAAATCCTTGAACTGCAAAAACAATCAACATCAACAGATGTCAGAACAGCATATTTGATTTTCATTAAAAATGCCAGAATTTGTGACTGACGAGACCCAGGAATTATGTTTTGAATATTTGAATTTTGCTTAGGGTGTATTATAGTTCCTATAAAGCAAATGCATTGAACTGGTTTTTGGCATGTTTAAAAGTATCCCACTGATTCTCGGTAGACACACTGCTTTCCTCAAGCTTAGAAACTAAACTGCACAGGAACTTATATTTATGAATAAACAGTATAGCGTTCCTTTAACATGGTTCTTGTTTGAACAGACTCTTGAGTTTCATAGTGGTCACTGAGAAATTTTTGTACAGTTTATCAATGAATGTCTCATGAAAGAGCCACAAGCATAAACACAAGCCACTTGAATCCACATGCTCCAACTTAGTTATCGGATGTTTTGGGAGTGGCAAACCAGTTATCTCTTTGAATAGGTGTACATTTGCAGAGCATTTAATCAGAGCCTTTTTCCTTTTTGAAATGAAATCATCAGTCAAAGAAAATTCTATCTTAATTGTTTCATATATATTATTAAGCAATGGGTAAGACATGTCTTGAATTTGGATACATCAATTTTAGTGCATGCTCAATTTATATTTGAGCATGCACTTAAAAGGAGACCAGGTGATATATTTTAAGTCTGTTTTCTTGTTTTTTGGTTCATTTGCTCATTCTTATTGGTGATTTTACTTTCCCATTTTTGTACTACTTTGTTCGGTTAACCGTTTAATACGTCTTAACACCACACACAAGAAATCCCAGAAATCATGGTATGTTGTAACCTATTATAATATAAACATTCTGTAATATGAGAAATTCATGATATGTTTTATTATGTAGCTGACGGATGAGGGACTTATGCTCGAAACGTGTATCAGCTATAGGATATTCCAAATAAAGATGATATAGAAATGCCCAATCTCTATCTATGCACCTAGTCGTGACGATAAAAATGAATATTTTATTTGTGTTAAATGAAATAAAATTGAACTGTATTAATATATCTAATTTTCTTTATTTTGATCTTTAAAGTCACACCTCGTCCTATATGAGAGATCATCTTATATGTGAGTAAATACGGTATTTGTCTTAACTGCTGACATTCAATAATATAAATAAATAAATGCTTACTGGAATTCATTATATACAATTAACAAACACCTTTCTCTATTCCAGCACAATGCTTAATGTGTTAAAAACTAAAAATGGTCAAAAACGTTTTTTAACGCATTAAACGTTGTGCTGGAATAGAGAAAGGTGTTTGTTTATTGTATTCAATAATATATTTTATTGTTTTATTATTATTATTACTATTATTATTAATTGTAAATTTTAAAATTATGTTTTAAAATAAGAGTACTTTGATTGAAATCCAAACATATATTTGGTATACTGCATAAGTTGCATATAAAAGAGTTTGTTAATGTTTAAAATGATATAAGTACATTTGCAGTCAACAAAAACACTATTTTTACTTGGATANCGTTCTAAACGAATATTTTTCGTACTTCGGTAATCTTCAAACGATTTTTTGCCTGAAGATGGACCCAGGAGGGGTCTGAAAACGTTTGTACTATTAAATTTTTATTTCGCATCGGTTAAAGGTTCTAAGGTACGTGATATTTTGTTAAATCCGATGTGCAGATGATAATTATTATAAAACAATTATTATGGAATTTAAATTCGAATTCAAAAATTTTGAAAATCGAAATAGAAAATCTTCCACTTTCAACCACTTTCAAGCCCATATCTCCCGCACCCTTATAGCTATCAAGACGCAACCACCATAGTGCACGAATGGAGACTTGGGGTTACTACCACATACAAACACCATTCATGTGCGATGTGTAGTTTTGGCTGAAAAGTGAAATATAGGGACACACACGTCCATTTATATATATATATAGATATCATTAACATTATTATTACTACTATTGTACCTCACATTTAAAACTTATAAAACAAGAGATTAAAAAACATGATGTCATTTCCTGTTTAGCAAAATCAAAGTCTCTGTAGGTTTAACTCTTGCATGTCGTCAAATAAAACTTTTATTTCTTCATAATAATTTCCTGATATAGTGGTACTGTTATATTTGAAGTTTAACATGAGTGTATGAGGAAATTGTCCATAACATTAACAATTAAAAAAGATGCTGTGACTATGCTACCCTATGTTCATATCAGACTTGCTATTTTTGTCTATGTGTAGTAATGTCTAAAGCTTATTCACTTATGAGGACTTAGTATATAATCACAAGTAAAAATATCTGAAAATAAATATCAAGAAATAAAATTTTATTTAATGGGACATACAAGAGTTAAATCTACAGGGACTTCATTTTCACTAAATAGGAAATGGCATTATTTTTTTTAAATCTCATGTTTTATAAGCTTTAAACACAAGGAATAGCAGTAATAATTATGCTAATATATATGATATGATAAAATAACAAAATAATATATAAAAAACAAACAACTAAAATTGTGAAAGTTTGAACCTACATTGTATAGCTCCAGTGCCTAGCATCTTATCCATTCAGCTACTGCTGTTACAAGTGAAACTTCCAAAGACTTATAAGCTAAACACAATTTTCAGAGGCCCTTTGTAAAGGATCAGAGACCTCAATGTATGGCCCTTTCCTTGTTAGCATATGTGGTGTCTGATTTGCTACAAGAAACCAAACCATTTCATATGGAATGGCAGAGTTTCACAATTTGTCACATGCACCATTAAAGGCCTGCACGACCAGAATAACAATTGTGAAATTTGTCTTTTATAATTTGTAAACTCTTAATAGATGGGTTGTATTGGCTACCCTGTTAACAGATTGATGGAATGTTCAGCATAAACCTTTTTGGTGCATCCATTGTTTCATCCAAAACAAAAATAACTTGAGTTATCTCCTCCTATTTCCTGTATTTTTATTTTTTGAAAATGGCTTCATATGCAGGCTACACATAGCTTTTCATACTTTGATCAGGGATTGAGTGCTTAGTCAAGGATTGCTCTTAACAAAGTAAATCATCCAGCATTTAAAAACTTTCTAGAGTTTTTAAATGCTTAAATGGTTTCAACATACTACATAATGGAAAAGACCATCATAATCCCGACAGATTACTAGACATTTATAATGTTCCTATAAGAGATGGCAAATGGGATGAAGAAATGATATATGTTGGTTCCACCAAACGTTCTTTGGGGGTAAGATTAAAGAAGCATAAGTCTGACATACTACATAATAAATGTGCAACTGCCCTTTTGACTTATGTGACAGACCCGGATATCACAGCGGACTTTAATGAAGCTCGTATCATCCTCACCATCCCGCATCCGGAACACCTCAAATGGTTAGAGGCAATGGAAATATTTAAGGCAGGATGTAGGATTACCTGCATTAATTTTAAAGAGGAGATGTCTCTTTCTATGGCATGGCAAGTCTTACTGGACAATAACATTTGATTTTTCTATTGGATTTAAATTGAAACTTGTGCACATTTCGATAATCATCGTATTATTCGATATTTGAATGTCTTGGAACACATGTGCATTTGGTGTCCGGAATCGAATACCTTACAAATGAAGTTTGAAATTTAACAGCCAGCTTGGAACGAATATATGTAGAAGCCTGAGGAAGAGCCAGAAAGGGCGTCATAAACATCTGCAATAATAGAACAAATGCTCCAGTTATTTGGTTTAAGTAAATTGATTTTATATTCAACCTGGTGTGTTAGGAAATTAAATTTTATTAACTTTTTACAAGGGTATTTAAATATCAAAAAATTAATTAAAAATTTCATAATTTTTAATTAATAACAGATTTATAAATAGAAAAAGAAAGCACACAAAATACCCAATTTAAGTGCAAATAAAGGAGAAAAAGGAGGAACTAATATTCTCTCAAAATCATTGTAAACTGAATAAAGAACCTTGATAAAGAACCTAAAAAGAAATTCTGTGATACTTTGAAACAGTCCCTTGTTCAAATAAAGGAGAGCACCTCAAGTTCACCCATTTAACAATAATTATTGTTTATTATTATTTTGTCCACAAGATTATTATTATTCATATTAAAATAACATATTCCTTAAAATCTAATTTTCAAGGAACTAAATTAACAATTCCAGGATTGAAAATATTTTTCTACACAACATAATAATATCTGATAATTGGAGAGTCTAAATAATAATTAAAGTAAACATTTCAAAACCTGATTCTCATGAATAAATCACTTTAATTTTGATTACAGTAGTCCATTAAAATTTGGTTTGTAAAAGTATTCATAAGGAAAATGTCCTGTGGTAGTCTAGCAGTACCAATCTGTAGAGTTCACAGGTACTGGAGCTCGTATGAATTTACATACAATGATACTTTAATAAAGCACAGTTTTTATTACATGTTAATAATTTCCATTTTCATTATCTAAAAATAAATAAACTTTTTGATGCCATATTATAAATTTTCTATTTCTCTGTTAAGTCTCTCTTGATTTATAAATGTCTATGTTAGTTGATAAAGAATTTGGCATGTAATGAAATTTATGCTATAGGTGTCTACTTAAAAATATATGTACATATGTCTTTGTTCATGAGTTCATGTTTGAAGAATATAAAAACAATATTCATACCGTAACTTCTCAAAATTTTTATATACAGTAGAACCCCTCTAATCCGTCACCTTTGGGACTGGGGCTATGGTCGGAACGCAAAAAAGGTCGGATTATCAGAAAAAAGTAAAATAAACAATCTTCCCTTTGTCCAGCCTTTGTAGCACTGCTAATTTTTCATTTAATGAAAGAGTAACGTGTTTACGTTTCACTCCTGACATGTTGAAAACACACACAAAACTATACATGTACACACAATGTAAAACATATACTGTAATGAACACATAAGAACGCCATGGACGGCGAGTCACTGATGAGTCGAGACAAGTTTCTCGAGTCCGACCACAGTCGGATTAACCGGAGTGACGGACTATCTGAGGGCGAACTAGAGGGGTTCTACTGAAATTAAAATTTTAACACAGAATTGTCTTCATGAATATTTCTTAATACACACTATAAATTATTGAAGTAAAATTAAATGAAAATTAATATGAATATAAATCTATAATACTAGTTAATATATTGATAATTCTAATATCATAAAAATTTAATTTTACCAGCTGCTTTTCTTGTCTATCTAAATCTCTCTTATCTCTATCAAGATCTCGCTGAGCTCTTCTCAAGATTTTCTGTTGTTCTCTCATTTGCTCTATTTAAAAAATATCATTATAATAATAAAAACTTAATGAAAGAAAGGATGTTTTTGGATATAAATTCTTAATTTATTTAATTATTGTTACATTTTAAATTGGAAATACAATTAAAGTACAGTACTTCAGGACTATTATTTTTTTACCATCACTACAGTGTTTCCCCGAAAATAAGACAGTGTCTTATATTAATTTTTGCTCTAAAAAATGCACTAGGTCTTATTTTCAGGGGGATGTCTTATATTTCCATGAAGACGAATTCACATTTATTGTTGAACAATACGCTAAACAGGTTCGAGAGAACACCTTGCGACACATTCAACTTAACCTTTTTATAGTGTCCACATCGAGCTCGATGACCAATTAGTGCTTACTGAACCGTAGCACTATGCAAATGTGATGTGGCGTGATTCCCAGCCGACCAATTAGCGATCACCAGCGATAACATTATGCAAATCTGTGATTCCCAAGCCATAGTCTTATGCAAATCATGCCGTGTGGCGTAATTGTCTGCTGACCAATCAGTGGCTGTACTTTCAACCATCTGTCGATGACCGTTACGACTAAAAAAAAACTTCGCTAGGTCTTACTTTCAGGGGGAGGTCTTATATTTCGCAATTCAGCAAAATCTGTGCTAGGTCTTATTTTCTGCGGATGTCTTATTTTCGGGGAAACACGGTATCTACTATAATATTTTATTAAAATAACTGTTTGATTATAGGCAATATAATAACAACTACATTGAATAGAACTTCCATTCTATATAGTTGTTGTTATACACCTTGACTACAGGCAATTTAGGTTTAAAGTTGTAACATTAATATTTTTTAAAATGTACTTTTAAAAATTACAGTATTAATTTCCTATATGTTAAATCAGTGTTCCCCAATCTGTTTGGATTAGCAACACACCGAGTTTAATAAGATTTCTGCAACACACCATAATTTATGGTTGATTTTAAAAAATGTCTAAAATTTAAAATAAATTATGGTTGATTTTAAAAAATTTTAATTTTGATACTTTTCACAAGAATGAACTTTTTAATAAATTAGGTTTGGATTTTAAAAATTCATAAAACTGTATACAGTTCACGTCAAAGTCGCATTTGATACAAACGAATGCTTCAGACGTTTTCATTTTTAATTGATTTTTTTTTTCACCGATCCACAAATCGTTCACCAACGAGAATACTCATTTGGCGGAGGAATTAGATCCAGGGAGGCGTAAGCAAAATTCAACGATANTTAATTTAAACTAACCAAAATAAAAACTCACAATTTTACAAATATACTATAAAAATAAAATGATTATTTGAATCAATGCATAAGAAGCTAGTCTTTAAGCTGGCAAATCACAATGTTTGTAGAAACTCCAAAAAGTTGGTACACCAGTGCATGCATACATGCAACTTTTGTGAGGGGAGGTTGTCGATTCCACAAATTTTATAACAATTGGCATTTTAGTGAATCCTTCCTCCTCCCTTTGATTGGCCAGCAGTAAAAAATGAAAGACAAATGAAATTTTAAAAAAGAGCTGCTTCAAAATTCTAAAAAATATTTATTATTTCTATGACACCCCTAAGATATTCATGACATCTCCTTGTGTGTTGCAGCACACAGGTTTGGTTTGGAAACACTATTAAACTGCAAGTTTTAAATATCTTTGTGCTAGATTGGTAACACCATACCAATGCACGTGTACAATTTGAAACACTTCAAACCTTTATATTTAAATGCGTTCGATTGTTTAAATAAGGTTTCTGCTACTGGTCAAAAATAGGTAATACCACATTGAAAGTTATTGCTAATGAGAACCCATTGTACTTTCTCAAGAAAATTATAGTTATTGATAATATAAAACTGGACATATCTTTTTTTTAAATAAATGTTAACAAAGGATTTCCATTTTTGCTTATACTCAAGGCTTCAGTGCAAATTCAAAATTACCAACAACACAATAATGTTTAATATATTCTAAGTGAAAAAATCTTAAGTGTAAATGTTAGAGTTTACATTTGAATTTAATTAGGAAGACATTTAATAGTTGCTATTTTATTGAAATGAGACAAATTTATACACTTATTTTCTTTACATCAACTCTACAATGATAATTCACAAGTTGCCTTTTTCAGATTACTAACAAACAACATATTTACATAATTATTACACTAATTCATTAAAAATGTTCTATAGCAGGGTTGTCCAACCTTTTTTCCTAATGGGCCAAATTAGAAATTTATGTATATTCAGTGGCCACAAAGGTATCATATATAAAGATATATTTTTAAAAAGTTTAAAATGTGAATATCAAATTTTAATAACAAATATATATAATTACAAAAACATTATTATTTATTGACAGTAAAAAAGAAAATATACTCACACAAAATAAAAATAAATTCAATGCAATTTCTGACATTGTCTTCCTTTTATAATATTGTCAATATCTGCTTTTATTGTACTAGTCTTAATTGTAAGAATGTTAGTTAAATGGGAATCACTCAACCTATTTCTTTCAGCAGTTTTGATGTTTTCATGCACGAAAAGAATTGTTCACAACAATATGTACTACCCAAAATATGCATAACATTTTTTAGATAAAACAATTTTCTAGCACCAATTACGTCATTACAACATCAAAGTGTATCCAGTGAAATGAGAATAATTTTTACAACATACTTTACCAAAATAAATGAAAATGTACCTAAAAAATTTAGGGTGCAGTGGGCCGCAGTATGGCCCGCAGGCTGGACATCCCTGCTCTATAGGCATTTAAGGATTAAACTCCTCAAAGCATGTTGACTCATTTTTGGCAATTTATTATAGTATTTTAAACTTCATAACATTAACATCTATTCTGGCAGCCAAGCAGCTATTTACATAATTCAGAATAAGGATACTCGCCCGATTACGAATAATATTAATACTATGCTACAAAATTCAAATTGTGCCTTCTCCCTTAATTGGCTGAGAGGACACCACAGAAATATTGGCAAGGAGAGAGCCGATGAATTAGCAAAGAAGGCAGCCATCAATCAAGAAAACACCATAATATACAGCAAATTACCGTTGTACAAATACAAATAGCGTTGTATTTTGTCACAGAATACAACGCTATAAAAAACTATATTTTAAATGAATGGCAAATATACTGGGATAACTCCCATAATGAAACAACTTACTCATACTTACCAGACATTAAAAGTATCTTCAAGATGAACTGGCTTGAAATTGATCATAATACAACCCAATTTATAACAAACCATGGCTGCTTTCAAAGCTACTTACACAGATTCAAAATCACTGATAAGTGTTCTATTTGTAACAAAATAGATAGAAGCGACCACTACCTGTTCAAATGCCCTATAGTTGAAAAAGAAAGGAATGAGCTACAGCAAATTTTAGGCTACAAACATATTGATTGGCCATGCAATAAAAGCCTTCTCCTGCAAGACAAAGAAATCTACAGATCCTTCAGAACTCTTATTGCTTTATATTTCAAATGGACTTTAGTGAAAAAATTATACTGAATATTGTCGGTTATCTGGGTAACCACCCAGCCCTTTTTTGTGTTAAGTCCCACGCATTGCAGGTAGTAACAGTGACCACATCCACACTCCTGCCTACTCCATTCATTTTTATACACACATTTATCATGTTTTATGTGCAATGATAACTATGTTGTGCTAGGTGGTACTGGGTATGTACATATCACTTGTACCTGATTAATAATAATAATAATAAAAAAAGTATTTTAAACTTTCAAGTTTTATCTCTGAGGGACAAATAGTTGTATTTCATATTTACTTCTATTATGAAAAAATGTATAATACAATACTGTACTTTAATTAAACAGTTATTAAGATCAGTCTTCAACAACAACAAAATAAACAAACATATATTTATTTGGTTAATTATAAATGAATGTAAATATGCCTATAAATAATAACAAATGGCTGTTGAGAGAAGAGAACTGGAGATTTTTCCTACCCAGGAAAAACTTAGTGGGCCATAGTAGTTTCTATCTATTTAAAACTACTTTTTATTAATAAAGAAACATTCTATGTATTTCCTTTATTCAAAAAAAAATTAAACAAAAATAAATAAATAAATAAATAAAATAGAAAAAAGGATCTGAACTACCCCCAGGCCCATACAAGTTTTCAATGGTCCTAATACAAATACTATATATAAATAAAGTAACATGCAAGATATTAAAATTTAAACTACAATATTGTAAACAGTAACAATTAAAATGAACATTTAACAAATTAAGAGTGACATTCATATATGATAAAATAATTAGTAATTATTGTAATGAAATGGGTTGTAACAGTTATCTGTTTTATCAGTTGGCTGTTACTAACCATCTAAGTAAATTTAAACTTATTAGTAACATAATGATAATTATAAACAAATTGCAAAGATAATTTTTGATTATAATAAGCATAAGTTTTGCATTATTATTTATGTTAAGGGACATGTTGATTTTGATATTAGACAACTAATACCTATTATACATGTATGGCAACCACAAGATACTATGTTGAGTTTAGGCAATACTTCCACTTGTGCTAGATTCACTGTTTCCATCTTTTCCACCTAGTTTTACACTTGACTAATCCTTTTTCCCTCTGGCTGTTAGACCCTGAGGGTCTTAGAGATACTGAAAGGCTAGAGTTTTTTCCACTATCATCTAGTGCAAGCCTGGCCAACCTGCGGCCCTTCACGTTAAATTGTGTGGTCTGCTAAGCAATATTATGTATCAATTAAAACTTTTGTTTCCCGTTGTATATGAAAATAATTAAATAAATGAAAATTTGCATGTGACATTATTATAATGCGCAAGTGCGAGTATGAACTCTTGGTATAACAATAAAATCTTATTCATTTTATATTTGTTTTACTTTTTTAAAAGCATGTTTGCCTAAATTGTGGCCCACCATAATGTTACGTGTGATCAAAGTGGCCCACGAAACAATTTGGGTTGGCCAGGCCTTATCTAGTGGTTGTGTTGTCTTTTTGCACAACTGATGGTTCAAAGTCCTTACTTAGAGAGTAGATAACAGGAAGGACATCCAGCTAATAAACATCAAATCCAATAATATGGTTATATTCATCTATGATGTTTAATGATACTGCATGAACATTTTATCTGTTACCATTAGCAGGAAATCTTACATTTGCAACAAGTATGGAATTATAAATTAAGTATTGTAATTATGACAGAATAAAAAGACAGAAGGGAAAGGGGCATCATCCACAATAAAGAGTAACAAATCTGACAAGAAAGACTGCAGTACTCTGTATCCAGGAAACAAGACAAAAAGATAACAGTTCATGGAAAAATGGATCTGAACACAAAACCATTCAGATGTTATTGAAAAAAGTTTTATTTCTATCATTCAAATTAATCAACTACTATATATAAATCAAATATTCAATATTCACACAGCAATTACAATATTTTGCAAATCTGAGATTAATATTTCTTAAACTCAGTGTTTTTAACAATTCTCAGAGTTAGATTCAGAAAGAATTAAATATTTATATTTTAAAAACTACAATTTTTGTAAATGTTCATCTATTTTAATTAATGAATTTTTACAATCAGTGAACAATTTCAATTAAACTTACAATTTTACAAATAGAAATGAACTAACAATTCTTCACAATTTTTTGCTTAATTCAAAGTAATGCTGATTGATTATATATAGAATAAGCTGAAATGAATTTTAGCTGCTCTTGGAAAATATGGCTAACAGAAACAGAAACTTGTAATAAGTTGCTAACTAAAAATTAAGCATTCATATCATCACTAATCATTTAACATGACATCTATTCATTTAATTTTTGTATATGAGTGATATCCATAATAATTCTGTAATAATTCAACTAAATCCAAATAAACTATTAAAATATTCCAATTTAATAAAATCCTAAAATGCTGTAGCATATCAGTAGTGAGTTCACAATTTTCACTTTGTATTTTCATGATTATATTGCTTTTACTCAAAGTCAACAGCAGAGACAAGTAAATAATCTGACACATAATTATATACTGTTTAACACATGAAATATTGTGCTAACTACATTAAAAATTATTTAATTTTATATTTACTTAATCGTAATATAATAATTGCTTAAAATACCCTATTATTTAAGGAATTGTTTTCATTTCTAAAATAAAACACACAAATTTTATTATTTTTTGAGCATTCTGATATATTCATTCTAACAAATGATCATTCAACAAATGTTTAAAATATTACAAGTATGAATTTCTTTTTAAGTCTACTTCAAGCAGTATTTGAGTGCTTACATCCTTATCATCATCAAGGAAGTGTATAAATGCAGTTCTGAATGAGACAGTTAGAACCTTACGAACTGTATACTATGACCATATTTGTTTTGGAGAAAATAAAGAACAAATCAGAAATTGTTTCATTATTACAGTGGGTTGCATTTATTTGTTTCACTAACATTCAAAAGTTTTGTAACATTTATTATAAGATACAAGCATATATCAATACATAGCATTTTAAATAATCACATTATTACTTTTAAAAAATTTTAATTTTGATACTTTTCACAAGAATGAACTTTTTAATAAATTAGGTTTGGATTTTAAAAATTCATAAAACTGTATACAGTTCACGTCAAAGTCGCATTTGATACAAACGAATGCTTCAGACGTTTTCATTTTTAATTGATTTTTTTTTTCACCGATCCACAAATCGTTCACCAACGAGAATACTCATTTGGCGGAGGAATTAGATCCAGGGAGGCGTAAGCAAAATTCAACGATATTTAAAATGGTTTACAGTACGTGTTTATTCGCAAAATATTTTAAAATGTCAACCCATGTATATTAGTAATAAAACTCATCATTTTTTCACCATTCTTTGACCTTTCCACACCCAACATAACTTTTAATATACTGTACTAAACTTCATAAAATAAAGGACAAAATAGCTATTTTAGAGGAAAAAAATTCTAAGTCATAAAATAAAGGAATTTTTTACTCCTATGGTCAATATACCGTGGAGTAAAAGTAGTTAAGGGAACCAACGATATCCAAAATTTGGAGATTCAAACTCCTCATTCATACTTGCAATTTTATCATCATCAATGCCGATTTACATAAAATTACGTAGGAAATCCATCGATTTGTAACGCATTCGAGTAATTATCTAAAAATACATTTACGCAATATGACCAAGTGCGATAATTACTCATATATTTTACACATAAATATCAATTTATTTATAAGAAAGTGCAGTTTACATTATAAAAAATGTATATAAACGTTTGAAACACTTAAAATTCATTACAACTTTAATCTATTTATCATTAAGAATTTACTACAAATTTACAATTAGTCTTACTATTATACAAAATACAATAAATTTGCTTTAATTATTATTTAAAGCATAATAAAATTTACCCTTGGGAGTCAAGTTTTTGGTGAAAAGACTCATGTTAATGGCCTAGTGTCTCTTCTAACTCTTCAGTGACATGTGAAGATGATGGAAACAAACAATTACGTCATAGATCTTCTGGTGGCCGAAAATGTCAATATAGCTCCATTAATAATAATAATGGTCATTTTTATTGGTTATTTTTAAATAAACAAAATACAGCAATATATACTTATTTTTAAATTAAAAAAATAATTATTAAATAATTTAACGAAAATAAAAATTTATTCTTTTTGTCAATGGGGAGGTTTTTTTAAAAACTCTTTCCGCCCTGTGGGCACTATGAGGGACTCTTTTACGTAAGCCCATTATGGGTTCGGCCAGTTTCACAATGGGGAGGCTGGGCGGTGAAAGACGCGGCCCCACAAAAAATTCCTGGGATTTATCGATCCGTCCGTTTGCTTCGGAAAAAATTTTTAAATCCATAAAAATATGCGGCCGAAGCACCGAAGCAATAAGTTTGAAAAGATGTAAACGTGTTTGATGTTATTTCTTTGTTGTTCAAATTTTTCCACGAGCAGTATATAATTATAAAGCTGCGTTCTAGAACTATTTTAAAACAATCTTCTGAGTGGAAGTAGCGTTGAGCGGTAGTTTGTCGCGGCTTCACGCCTCACCGAGCTGGCCATGTGGGGTTTTCCGAGTTTTCTTCACATGTCTAACAGCTGAATAGCGGCCAGTTTTCCCATAAAAGTCCTTCCGGGAAGTACTCCCCCCTAACAGATCGGTCACGTGCAATTATCCTGTGCAATTATCAAATCGTAGAAGTAATTGTGCGCTATGATGAATTTTGAAGAATTTTGCAAATGCACTAGCAATATCTTCAGCTCTGCGTTCTGACAGTCTTTCATGCCAGTAAATGCAATGATGTACAGTACTTGCCTCGCGTCTAAGATATAATTGATTCATTAAAAACTACCACTCATGGAATAAAAATAATATAAGACAATCTGATATAAGATGCTATTTGATATCATTTTGATATTCATTGCGTAAGAGGTGGCTCTACATAAGGCAACAAAAGATGCGTAAGGCCTGGCAAATTTGGAAGTATATTTTAAAAGTGAAATTATCAAATCAACAATTTTTGAAAGTCTGCTATATTTGCAGAACAGTCACTTTCAACGTCAAAACTGATAAGAACTATAGCCGATCAATAATAACTAAGCCCCGAATTTTTCGGATCTGTAATCGGATCGAAAAGATCGCATTTTCGGATTTATTCTCGGAACAAAAAAAATAAAAATAATAAACAAACTTATCAATTTTTTTTTCAGTTATCTGTTTATTAATTGATTCTGTATACTATATTATAAACTTTTTGAAGATGACCATGCACACATACAAGAAATCTATTAATATTTTCTTCTGTCAGACTGTGGACGGCCAGTGATAAATTTTTATACAATGAAAACTTCTCTCGGCCTCGAACGTAGTCACAGGTTAGTATTTCAGCAAAAGTACATTGGCAAGTCCTACATCCTCAGGGATCTCCAACTAGACAGCTATTAACTTAGCGAAGCAGAGAAAAACTACTATTCTTATCTAAAAGCCAACTTCGTGCGAAGTTAATTCTATATAAACCAGTTTTATATAGAATTCTCTACCGTTTCTACCAGTCTCTACCGTTTAAAATATTTTTAGAGATTCTTCGAGTGACAACCCTTTTGCTTCTAATGCTTCGATGTAATCCGGAACATTTAACAAGTGGACGCGGATATAAACTAGAGATGTGATTAAATATGGATTCTCCAAAGCTTCCTTGACATCCACAGTGAAAGAACTTTCTGATTCATAAAGTTCATTGAAAAATTTTGAAAGTCACGTAAATGGTCCGCATAGAATACTGCAGCTTTTATCCAAGTGCCCCATCTCACGACTATGGGAAAGAGCGGCAAAGAAGTATCTGGCAAACGCTCACGATGCATAGCAGTTCGCATTGGTGTCTTTGGCAAGCCGTAGTTTGACAAGTAGTTTCTTGCCGGAAGAAACGAGGAGGTAAGAGTTGTAAAGCGTGATTCAGGCACAGGCCCGCCGTAAGCGGGCGTGCAAGGCGTGCACCGTGTAATAATAAATAGTTCTTTTTGTAAAGTATTTCTTTTCTTTTTTCACACCTTTATGAGACAACACTAAAGAGCCTTTCTGGCAAGCTCAGCGCAGGTAGACGTAGTTAAACAGGGGGCGGCATAATCGATATTGCACACGGGCGTTCAAACAGCTAGCGGCGCCCCTGGAACTGAAAATAGTGTTTAGTCAATGGAGCAAAAGCATAATCTCTTACTCTGGGGTATTTAAATTGTCGGTTTGAAATTTTTATTTAAAATACAGGGATATAGAAAATGTTTTTGAAAATGAATGCATTTACTGGCTCGATCTTTTATTTTTAAAAATTTTTTTACGTGAGAATTGAAAAATATGTTTGTAAGGACATCGAAAAACAATCCAGTAAATAACTGCAACACTCATTTACGTTATTTCAATATCAATTGACATTTTAAAATGGGAGTTTGACAGCGAGTGTGTTGCTTGGTACCTGAAAATTATTAAAAATACAGCACAGCACAAAGTATAAAATAAAGATGATTTCGAATGAAAATAGAGTTATTTTCCGGCTGTTATATATAACAAAGAAAATACGGCGATCGGTCAAAAATGACCCCGAAGATTTTTATATTTTAAGATTAAAAAAAATTCGGGTTTTTTTCTGTATGTATGGATATTAGGGTGTGTGCGGGAGGGGCACGATTTTGTTCACTCTCTTTAAAGGTTAATAACTTCTGTGCTTTTTGCCGAAAATTTCTGAAATTTTGCAGGGATGTTTGTGTATTAGGAGGATTAATGCTATAAAATTATGGTGATTAAGGGCCGAAAAGGCGAGGAGATAAAGGGGATCGTGTGTCGTATTTCGAATGGGGTCGGACTTAATGACGATTTTACTCGTTATTAACATTTACAATTTTTCAGAATACCCAGGCCTACCTCAAAATTAAGCTTTTTATCATTTTATAATAAATAAAAATATAAAAAGTTTTTAATAATAAAATATAACAGATGTCGCCACACACGCGATTTTAAATGTTGCCGGGAAAGTTAAGCAACTCGTTGCTGGATTATTATTATTATTTTTTAATATGCTTCATATAGGTCCGAAAATTCTCTATAGAGAACGTGTTATAATCATTGTAATTTGTAATATATAAAAATATGTAATTAATTTCACGCGTAGAAAAGACCATCGAAAAATTGACGGGAAAAGTTAAATTGCCCTTCTCCGGGCCAGTTTTTTCTTCCAGTTGATTCTAAATTATTATTTAAACTATGATTATTAATTTAGATAAAAGATGGCGCCTAACGTCTACCTCTAGTAGTATATTACTTAGTATTAATTATAAAAAATAGCGAATTGATTGCCCGAGTATTTAAGACGATTGTTTGGCTACGTTATATTAATATATTTGTAATTTTTGAGTTCGCTGGGTCCTTTGACACTTTTGGATCCTCTACTGACCGAGTAATGCTGTAGGAATCATTGAACTAATGAACTCGACTAAAAACAATCTTGTTCGGAATGTTTAGTTGGTTAGTCTAGTTTACATTAGTCAAGTAACTCGGGTAGTACTCGACCCTCTTTTAATACAGGGTGGCAATAATTAACCCGTACAAGTTTTTGCATCGTAAATTTATTAAAGAAATGAAAATTAGCAAAACAACAACAGATAGCAGTGACAATACTTTACGTATTAATTCAGTCGGTTTCAAAGTGGCCTCCTTTCGCTTTGATGCAGAACCCCAAACTCGTTTCTAAATTCTCGGCGATGGGCCGCAGCTCTTCTGGAGACAGTTTGTCCCACTCCGGCACAAGGATTGCTTCGGCGACTCCAAACTTTTGTGGTGCTTAGCGCAGGCCCTAGCCTCCAAAATGGACCACACACTATAGTCCATCGGGTTCAGATCCGGTGAGTACGGTGGCCATTCCGCAGACGATATGAAATCAGGAAAATGAGCCTTGCAGCACTCCTGAGTCTTCTTCGCCCTGTGTATCGGCGCTGAGTCCTGCTGAAACGTCCAAAATGCTGCTGAGCCCACGGAAGTACCACGTCCTCGAGAATGTCACGGCGGTACACGTTTTGATTGATTTTGGCCCCTTGATCGACGAAAACAAGGGGTGTCTTGCCGCTTGCACAAATTCCGGCCCAAACATTGTATTTTTACGGTGTTCGATGACGGCTGAACATCAGGGAGCCTCCTCGGACCAGTCCCTGTCATTTTGATGGTTGTGCGCCTGTTGTACGGAGAAAAGCTTCCTGTCTGTGAAGAGAATGCGCTCCCATAGTTGACCCGCGGCCCGACGCTTGAGTTGACGGCATCTTTCGAGTCGCATGCACTTGTTTTCATCGATGAGGAGTTGAAGCTTTTAGAACTTGTAGGATTTGTGTCCGAGTTTCTTTCTCGCCATTAACCGCATCGATTCGCGATTGATTCCGATCTCACGAGCAATTTTTCTCATGGAGATCTTCGTATGTCAGTCAACTCGCTTTTTGATGATCTTACGGTTCCTAGACGTGTTGATGGTGTGCTTTCTTCCACGTCCGGGATGGTTACCATCATGGCCAATCTTCTTGACTCGCTGAACTGCGTCCGAGACTATCATTTTCGGAACACCGAGCAAACGAACAATTTTACATTGACACTTTCCTTGCCGGAATAGCTCCAAAATTGCACAACGTTTGTTCGAAACTAACCCTTATTACACCGAAAGCACATCTACATGGGCAGGAAATCACGGAGAATTAAACGACAGTATGTAAATTAATTACGGTAAAAAGGTTCAGGCGCAACATTGCTACAAACTTTGTACGGATTAATTATTGTCACCCTGTATTTCTGCTGGTGTTTATACAATATTATTTTAATACGACAGTAGATGCTTACAAAATGGCGGTGTGGGACCCAACGCCATCTTCACCCATTTTATGTAAACTACACGCTGTCAAAACCCAACATTTAATACTGAAAATAAGGTGTTTGACAAGAATTTACAGTGTTTTACTGGATTAATGTGCGTGATATCATTGACTAGCGAGGAAAAAAGGGAAAAAGTTGTGGGTACGTAAGTGGCCAGGAAGGAGACATTTCAAATACATCTTCACTTCTATCCTTCGCTACAGTGTAGTTTAATTTACTGCCACCGGGGTCGCGTGAGATTGAATCCGGACGGGCCGAAACACTCAGAAATTTTTGGGGATGGTCCGTTCCGGATAAGTCAGGCAGAGGCGAAACTAAGGAAAGTCGAGGGTGGGCATGTCTCCCCGGCTCGACCTTGGGGGCTCCAAAATGAGTCTGTAGAATTTATTGTAATTAATTAACGTTGAATTATAAGGTTGAATTAACGCTAGTTATAAGGTTTGTCCCGGGCGCCAAAACTTCTCATTGTGAGTCTGGCCAAATCCACGATGGTTTTGAAAATAGGTCGTCTTAGGGTCCACAGAGCGGAAAGAGTTAAATTACATCCTAAATTTTGCTTCATATCGGTGAAACAACTGAAACGTCTTTTGTCGTCAGTCATGCTTTAACGAATTATTCTCCAGAATTAGACCGTTACAGACAGAAATGTGTATAAAAATTCAGGTAAATTTATATAAAATAAAGAATAAACGAAGCTAAACTGAATAATAGAGTGAGAAAACGAGTTTGAATGTTATTTCAATGATGACCTTGTAAGACTAACTTTCGTAGTAAATAATCAAAATATTGTGCAAGAAATTTGAAATATTACTTTAGAGATATGACTTTTACACTTCCGAAGTCGTACATTTTCTTTGTCACGTTATATTTATTCATAATGTGAGCTGTCACATGTACTGTACTGTACGGTAAAAAGTACTGTGATGAATGATCATTACTCTCAAATGGGTATAAATTTACAATGATAAATTCGCATTTAACGTAATCTAATAAGCAAAATTGACATATCTAATGCTATATCAGGCCTCCAAAAAAGTATATTTGTGTCAGAGAATTAAATAAATTTTCTTTATAATTAATAAGGCGTGTTACAACTTCCCAGAATGACGTTGAGTTAGTATTTAATCTGGTTGACCTTCACCCGTTAGATGCATTTACGTAATAAGTTAGGTGAATTCAGGTAAAAGCTCAAGTAAATCTGGTGGATAAGTAACAGAACAAACGTGATTTTTAGAAAATGCAACTGTTTATTTCGTAAGTTATAAATTAGATAGAAAAATCTTCGTTTCTCTTCTTAAGGATATCCGTTTGAATTGCTGTTTTGCTTTCACCTTTTCTCATAAACACATTCACTTTGCAAGAATGAAAACGTTAAAAAGCTCCTATCTTCTACTTTTTCTGCTCGCAAGTACAGTCTTTTCAGGTAAAAAAATATTTTTAGAAGTTATAGTTAATTGTAGATCATCAGGATGGCTGTTTTGATGCCACGTTCTTTTAATTCTAGATAGTGTGGAAGAAGCTAACGAATATATGGATCTACTGCTGGGAAATCTAAGAAACGATCCCGTGATTGCCAAAAAAGTGGAACCAATCCACGTTCCCAACGTAAGAGAGAACACATTCGAAGGTAGAAATATATACATTGAAGGATTATCCGATCTTTATAGATTAGAGGACAGTCACGTTGAGGCCAAAGGAGATAAAACATACGTAACTTCTAAATTGGGAGTGGCTAAAATTAAATTTAATATGGATTATAAAGTGAAAAACCCCCTTTTACCTCTCTGGATCAGCGGTAAAGCGGAAGGGAAGATCGACCACGTGACAGTTCGCTGTGTTGTCGGAGTATCTTCTCTTGATGGAACTGGAAAAGTGGAGGAATTTATAGTAACAGATTTTGGTGGATTTAAGGTTACTAAAGTTCGGGGTGCCACAATCGCTTTTAATTGGTTAGTGACTATTATAGCAAATGTCATGTTTAATCACTCCAAAGGAATGGTGATCGAAGGTATTGAAAATGGCGTATCAAAACTGCTTCAAGAAAAATTGAGTGAAGTGAAGATAACTTCTAGAAAGTTAAATTCAGATAGACGATAGGTTATAAGAGCCTGTATGAAACTATAAATGTATCCGAAACTGTTAATATTCTACAACAATTCTGTAATTTTTAAGAGTTTATGGGTTATTCTTTTAAGAAAATGTAATACTCATGTATTAAAATCTTAATATAACTCAAGACAGTTAAATTTGTTTACTTTGGCCTAAATTTTATAACTTCTTGTTTTAGATAAATCCATTCTAATATGGATAACATAGACCCACATTACAAAGCAAAGAGTTTGGAAATACAGTAAAACTTGCGTAAACCGGAATCACACAGTGCCGAATATATTTTCTGGTTTTGTAGTGTTTTTAACATGGAAAATTGCTAGGTTAGGAAGAATTTTTTTCGTTTAGACAGGCTTTCGTTTTATTCAGATTCCGTTTTAGACAGGTTTTACTGTAAATGCAAATAATATGAATAAAATGGAAGGTTTCATTATGTTTTATCTCTCGAGCAAAATTTAATTGATGTAATTAGAATACGAGTTTTTTCTCTTAAATTTACTTTAGCGAATTTAGTTTGTGATTATTTTAACTTTATTTAATGTCATTAAAATTATAAAAGTATCTATAAACTACATTTTAGCTTATTTTAATTTAGTAAGATGCAGGTTTGTGGTTAATTAACGTATGAGTATACCTACAGTGACCATATTTTTTGGGGGAAAATAAAGGACATATCGAAGAAAATCAAAAAAATACGTTATAAAATTCATAAGTTTATAACATTCATTACGAAAANAACACTGATCGTGATGGCGTACACAAAACTAACTTGTTCAATATATTATTAAAAATTTTTTTTTAAACTTTGCGTCAACTTTACAAAATAAAGGACAAAATGCCTATTTTAGAAAATAAATAAAGTTAAAGGACAGAGCAGTGAAATAAAGGACTGTCCTCTTAAATAAAGGACGTATGGTCACTGTAAGTATACCAAACCATGGCCGTGAGCCTCGCCTTCTGAGGAGCCTTATCTCGCTGCTCATTACTAGTATTCTTATTGTACAAAATTTTATATCTGTATAATTTCTCTGAAAAATTAGTCCAGAGGTCTTAAAAGTTTTTAAAATAGCCTTGCGGATAACTTACAGTATATGTATATAAGCTCTGATGGCCTATAACAATGATAATACAATGTGGGTGGAAAGTAGCTAGACATTGATAAATTGATATTTGTTTCTATATTTCTAAAGCAAAGATGATAAAAAATTATCTATTGTGTACCTTATTAAATGAAAATACGGATGACTACCATAAAATTCAATGTAGATAACGGTACCATCTACCAACTTCCTCAAACTACCGGAGACTCCATGAATGCACGTCCACTTCTTTATGCGTCCACAACCGAATCTGTGCTCATTAAAATGATAGTTCTTGATTGTTCCCAAACGGATTGTGCCACGACATCCCTTCACCGCACGTCACTATTTTTGCACTAATTTCTACACACCTCATACTGAGCAGCAATCTGCGCTCCCTCCTGAACAGTCAAGTGGTAGGCCATTTTTTTTCTGCCACTGCGCGTGCAGTCTCTTTTAATCATTATCCACAAAATCGATACAGAAATTATAAAATATCATTGATTGATGTACATGCTTATCTAAATTTGATTATGATTGCTTTATTATTACGAAAAGCAAAATTATTTCTTAATCTTTAGTTACTATTCGTCCATTCTTTAGATCTTTAGTTCTTCTAGACTAAAGGGGCCTTTTTTCAGGCCCATCGTAGCAAGGCCTACAACAGGGACCGGGATTAATGAGAATGGAGTCGACGTATCCGTCACAGACCATTCCAAAAAAATTTCTGGGAGTTGCTTAGTGGGACTGATCCCGGATCCACAGAGAGGTATGCTTACGTCTTAACAGCCTCAGCATTTGCTGTTAAGGGCTTGTAAATGTAAATGTAGTTTTTCTAAACAGAAACTTTTGCAATTTAAACTTAAATAAATATACAAGTGGTCCACCTGTATATTTATTTAAGTTTAAATTGCAAAAGTTAATTAAGCCAATTAACCCAAAAGCCAATTAACCTAAATAAGACTAACATCTATCTCGATTAACTAACTTTTAGCTTTCCCAAAAAATTCATGACATATGGAATTTTACTGAGATAATGGTAATACGAATTTGTTTGGAATAGTTTTCTACCCCTCTCCTTTGGTAGATAATCTATTATGAAACAAGTATATTTACAATACACGAAATTATGATCCAGCTTTTGGTGCATTAGTAAATTGCGTTAAAGAAATTAATCAGTTTGGCCAAGTGGCTGGAGCGTTAAAAACACCAATCTACAATCCTGAGAGTCTAGATCCGGACTGGCTCTAAAATTTTTATGAATGGATGGATTCTGATCTGGAGGGACCCATCAGAGTGATGACGGATGCCTCATCACTCTGTTGCCCCTGTGGGCTTAATCGAACACTATGGTGAAAATAAAATGCCTTCTTAATTAATGACTACATGGCAGAGAGTGTTAAAAAATATCGAGTTGAACAAAACCCAGTTAATCATTTTAAAAGAGCTTTATTTTGTTTCTCATAAGAGTCATAACAAAGTGAACAAGTGTTCTAGACGATTAATTGTTCTGAGTAGTGGCGGATATACAATGAGCAAAAGCATTGTTCATACGGTAATGAAGTTTCATTTTCTCAAGTCATTTTCAAAATAAGTACCTGCAGCCCTGGAAAGGAGGTTTATACGTTCATTACCGAGGATACTCTGATGACCCCTCACCCAGCTGAGAATGTAAGAGTTCTGTTCTCTGACTAGGAAGATTCTTAACTATATACCCAGTGCACAGAACTCTTACATCCTCAGCTGGCTGAGGGGCCATCAGGGTATTCTCAATAATGAATGTGCGGACCTTTTTTCCAGGGCTGCAGCTACTGCCAGTACCACTGGTCCTCTCAGGTTTTCAGTGCTCTCAGCCTCTCTTCTTTAGGCGCCAACTTTGGGACCATAACTTGAATCTCTGGTAGAAGAGATGGGATAACTACAATGGCCTTACTAGGTACTTATTTTCATCTGTCAATGATCACCTTTCCTACCACTGGGAATTTCTTGTTTTTGAACCCCCCCATTTTTTCCTTGGGCTTGGAGGTTTTGGGGTTTTCTTGCGGGGTTTTGGCAAATCACAACGGATCTCTATACCTTCTGTAATTGCCATGATGGAGTTTAGCATACAAGTGTCCAATGACTGGGAACGTTAGGCCTTACTCTTGGCCAGATGGGTATTGACTGGCCATGAGATCTTCCTTAACGATCGTGACACCTACATGGTATTAAAAAACTCGATTCATAAGTATTACATACGTTCTGCCATACATTAAGTTGATCATGTCCCTAGGTCACTCATCTTTGCACTGTCATCATTTGTTTACTAACCTGTTTATATGCATCGCGTCTTGCTATTTGCCGCATCATACCTCTGTGTTCATATCATTATTTGAAATCACTTACAGTTTAAAATTGTATAATTTTTAATTTGTTTTGTATATGTTGTATTTATTACTTTAGTTTACTTTTATGATAGTTATCGTGTTACTTTGGTTTTTGTATATGTCACCTTTTCATCTGTACACACACCATTTTGCACTAAGATAATCATATTTCTTATTACTCTCACCTATATTATATATGTGTATTCACATATGTAACACTGCTAACCCAATTATGCTACGGCAGTATCGGATAAAAAAAAAATAGAATACTATTAGAATACTAAATAGCTTTGGCTTGTTTTATGGCCTTCTCTTTACCATTCGGTTTTCAATGTCACTTCGTAAATGTTCAATTGCATTGGCATCTGATGATTGGGGAGAACAATCTAACTTTTGCACTGAAACAATCCCAAACTATTACTAATCCCTTCACTGTATTTAACAGTACTGTACTGTATGGTTTAGTTGCTCTTTCGTTTATCTCCACACTTTTGGTGGACCGGACCATCTGCTTCTAGAACACGTTATTTGGTCAGACGAGAAAAATTTTAATGTGTTTGAGTATTGTAAAGCCAACTGTTAGGGACCGGACTGAATTCAAACCCGGATCGTAAGGCCGTAGGCTGACACTTTAAAGGTAGGTCTAGACTTGTTGCATAGCCTCGTAATATATCACATATATCAGTCTAGTGATACAAACAGCGTAACACGGCTCATTTTTCTATCGTATCACGTTTCCTTATGCAGTATTAATCACACAACAGAGTGAAGCTCTAGTTTGGACCCAGGTTTTAAGGTAATAACCACTTCTGTAGAAGCGACTTACATCTATCTTCCCTATACTCTTAAGTAAAAAGAAGTCCATATGACATAGCATCGGATGAGGGAGCAGTTCGTTTGAGAGAGCACTCTTCCTTGTTTCTAATACTCTCTCCCATATTTTGCATTACTGGCACTCTCGTAAACAAAACAGTTAGTTTAAATGAGTGTCATGTCAGAGGCATTTTCAGAACAGCATTCCACATAAGACAGCAATATTCCAATGAAGATTTCTGAGACTTCATAAGTTCTGCAAGAATAAAGTTATTTGTTTTTATACTGTACGCCCCATTAGAGATCATTCAGAAATTTTCGAGTGAGGATGTTTACATCTTTTTATCTAAGTTTACCGTATTTCTTTAGAAGTGAAAGTAATTTGACTAGCAAATACAGTATACTACATTTACTGATTATTGGAAGTAGATAAAGTTGACTTAAGAATGGAATAATGGAAACCAATAAGTAAACTAAAATTATGGTAAAATGAATTTTAACGTTTCCAATCGTGTTGTAATTGTTATAGAGCTCTTGAGATATTAAGGTTGGAAAGATTCGAATATAAACAACCCCGTGGATGACCTTGTTAATTCAGATAAAGGAACAAGGTGTAGCGATTCCTATGGTTATCTCTTAAGAAGACTCTTATTTCTCTCGACACAAATGATTTTGAACAAATCTTGACCATTAGGCGTTAATGATGAATAACTTATTTTATTTTTCGTGCATTCAAGGTAGAGTTACCAACTTCTGAAGGATTGATTCCCGAAGATGATCATTCCACAAGTAGAAAATTCTGGAAAATAACCTTAAAAACAAAACCACCATATAACCGTGAAACGTGTATTCCTTATTACTGAAAAATCACAAATCAATAATATACTGTACCTGTAATTATCATTGAACTATGAACATAGTTCATAGTTCAATGATAATTACAGGTACTTATCATTGAACTATGAACTAGTGTTCATAGTTCAATGATAATTACAGGTTAAATGTTGTTAATTACAGGAATCGTGTTAAATCTTGGATGATTTAACACGATTTCCCTAACAGAATCGTAGAGAATATCTGAGAATATGGTAATCTAAGACACTCGAACATATTTCGTACACTAAAACTTACCATTAAACTTATTTCCTCGAGAAGCAGTTATAATGTAACTGATTCTGAGAGGAACAAAGATCATTCAGAAACTCTTTAGCATCTTTCCAGAAGTTCTGTTTTCAAGAATAACGATTAATTCTCGATCTAATAATATATTAGTACGTTACGTAAGAAGAACGATAACAAATTCTATAAAAAATTTTAGATAAAATAAAAATAAAACAAATCACTTGCAATTCCAATACGATTTACCTCACTTAATCCCTAATACATAAATCTCAATTTTCGTCTTGTCTTTTGTCACGTTACTAAGAACTTATCATCGTAACATATTGCTTACTATTAATAATTCAACGCATAATAATCTAATAATCTTTATAGGATTAAGCAATAAGTTACAGCATTCATTTCTTAATCATTTGTCTTTTATGTTAATCTTCATTGTCGAATTTATAAAAATTCTCAATTATCATCGTATTTTGTTGAATAAATTATTGTGTCTTCAAATTGGAAATAAATTATTTTACATTCTTTAGTATCAATTCGTTATGAGAATAAAGCAGCTATCAATTGAATAAATCTAGAATAAATCCAGTACATTGTAGATTATTTTGCTTGCTAATTATGCCCACCACAGCCGGGCGTAATCCACAATGAGTGCTAGAGAACGAATCAATCCTTCATTCATGCTAATGGGATCCTAGTGTGAGGCTCTGGACAGGTCCGAACTCTCACTAAAATTCGCGTTGAAATTATTTTGTTTTAAAGAAAAAAAATACAGTAGTTAGAAATAGATTTTTTATATGAAAACGCGACACTAACTTTTAAACAATAGAAGAACCGTCGACCATCTCCGGTTGGAGATCGAATTAAACTTCGATTTTGACCTCTCCCGCGCCCCCCGAAAGGTTTCGAATTGTCATCAGGTGACGAGGAGAGACCAATCGGAATCGGAGGAAAATGGATAAAACCCGAACATTCAAGGACGCGACGGCTTCTTCTCCCGAAAGTTCCGAGTGACGGATCTATTGTTGTGTGTGTCTCATGCCCATCTTCGTCTTTATCTCCCGACCTCGGATCGTCATCTTTCCATCAACGGAAGTCGATCGCATCGTCCCGGAGTCGTCGAGACGTGATGGAATTGTTCATTCGCGAACAAGGGACACTCCTTCAAAATGGGACTATCTTGAAAAGGAGAGGAAGACTCAGAGGCCACAGACGCGGCAGAACTTCCAAGATCGCGGAAATCTTGTAAGCTTCTTTCGTGTTTAATAAACGGGTTGTGTTGTTGTAAACGAGGCATCTATCAACTGCTCTGGCTCAACTGCTTCCACATGTCGTCGATTGTTACCGCTCGGCAGTCCAAACGGCAATGGAGATATATATATGACGATATATATCACATATTATCGTTAATTACGTTTATAAATTTCTCCCTCCTCGGCCCCCATACTAGCTACTCATGTGAAATTATGGAAGTTCTGGATCTCTTCGAATCTAGATCCTGCAGGAGGTTAACATTATACAGCGCGCGGTCATCTTGACCGATTAAATTACGTTTGTTAATTAGAAAAATATACTGACTTTCGATATAGTTTCGATTTTCAGTCTCTAGATGTAAATTTCCAGATTTAATCTTGGGTTATTTATTATTATAATGGCGACTCGAGTAGTTAAGAGAACAGTTTATCACTCTAGAGGACCCTGGATCTAAAAACCTAGGAATTTTTCGAGGTGGTATCTTTAAAGCCACAATGGACTTGCTAAAAAGAGATCTTTTTAGTACCTCCGGTTGCCCATTGCGGGTCTTATCGAAGCCGTTATGGGCTTGCTAAAAAGGGTTCCTCTTAGTTTCCACAGGACGAAGAGTTACAAAAACAACTACTACATTTGCTTCTTATATTTTATTAAATAAAGGTAATTAATTTAATCTGTTAGATTTTACTTTTATTTGGTAAAAGTTGCATGGTTCGAAACGATCGTTATTCTTAATAATCATTGATTCTATATTACAGAAGAGTAAGAATTATCAAGACAATTACCATTAACGAACCTTGATAATTATCAAGATGGCTACCATTCTATGGTATATTTATTAAATATACATTTTAAAACTTTGATGTAAAAATTTCTACTGTATTGATAAGATTTTTAATTCAAAATTCTTGTTTTCGAATTATTTCTACTTTCGTTCTTCAAATTTTAATTTTCAACATATTTCTGTACATGTTCCTGTACTGAAATCTGGGTTTTAACTTAAAATTATGTTATAAAATTCTGATATTTAAAAAAACATTACAAAATAAGAGTCAATATTTATTAAATTGTAATGAATTAATTTAATAAAAACACAAATAATACTTTAAAGAAGAAAAATCTTTGTTTTTTTTCTCTTTTTTGTGATGTGTAAAGGCACCGAATTTTGTTGCAAAGCATCAATTTCTTCGAAACATTCAGAGATCTTGGCACTACGTTGTGCATAGTACTTGGTAACGAAGCACCCTAGCTAGTAGGAGCCATAAAATGCTGGTTATGACACATAACGTTATTCCACTCCATCCTAGAGATGCCGACCAACCGAATGTGAACACTCGAGTGTTCAAATATTCTTGAGGAACACCATTATCAATTACAGTATTAGTGTTGAAACTTGCCGGTTTTAATCGCTTAAAATACATAAAGGCTAAAGTAAATGTTCCAAATAAAGCTGTAAAAAATTAAATTTCGTGTTTAATTTATGACTATAAAGTATTATTTATGGATAATTTTATAAAGTTACCTGCTAGGATGAACATAACTCCCGTTACCATAATAGCACTAATTTGTCTTTTGGCTAAACCGAATGTTCCCACTAAAGCACTAGATGCAAGAAGTATTAAACTTACCATAGCACACGACATGGCTAAATTTCTCATTCCTGGATTTTAAAAATTTGAATTTTTAAATAATTTTCTTTGTATTTTTTAATATAATTATACAAAAAAAAAATTACTTACGATCTAATCTTGTATTTTTAAATACCATATCTTTGGGTGCTAAATAAGAGTAACATCTGATAGGCACTTCTTCTTTTTGAAGAAATTCTTTTTCTTTGACTAGAAAGAAAAATTACATTAAAAATTTCTTACATTTAAAAAATATTTTAAAATAATTCTATTAAGGTTTAGGGCTAGATGCTAATGCATCAGAAAGACTGGAGGAAATGAATTCATAATGTCTCAATCCTCCTCGAGGGAAGAGTGGTATCATTAATTTCACAATTTTTATTGTGATGTCACTTAAATACACAAATATTAACATAAAATATGTTGATTTAGGGCAATATTTCTTGTAGGACGGCCAGATGGCTGAGTGTTAAGGTATAGGTTAACCAGGGTGCCACAAAATGGATATTGGTGAAAAAAACAACGCAACACTTGGGCGATCTGCCAAGACTGAGTACCTCTCGAAAAGACTTTCTATGAGAAACTGGCCACTATTTAGATGCTAGACACGTGAAGAAAACCTCGAAAACTCCACGCAATAAGATTCAAACCCACACCAACTATCGGTCACCAGTGGTTTTATCTATTGGCTACGCGGCCACTGGTGGGCAATACTGTTGAGAAATGTAGTGCCGAGCAGCGCCATAACAATTCTTACGTGTTTTACTAATGATACAAGTATTAAAAACGCAACAACTCTACATTGATAAAGAAGTAGGGGTGCCTCAAGAAAAACTATCAAGTTGGGAGTGGCAATATTAGAAAAAAGAATGAAAACACTGGGTTAAGGTGTCAGATTAGTGCCCTGGGAGACCAAGTAACGAGTCGACCCCCGGGAATATTTTTGGGTAGTGGTCCATTCTGGATATGTTGGGTTCCGTCCCTCATCTTCTAATTACCCTATTGTGGGTCTAATCCAATTCACGATGGGTTTCATTAAAAGGTCTTTCTTAGTCAAGAGGGTTTTCTAGTAGCTCGAGGTCGACCAGTTGAGAAAAATTATACAAAACAAGTTTACGTAAGTATACAAAATTATGAAATTTTTAAATATTTTATTAATAATTCCAGTAAATATAAATGTAAAAAACAGTATAATTTACATTTATTATAAAGAAATGACAATAATCAAATTACTCGTATTATTATTTTTTAAGACATTTCAACCAGTTGCATGTATGAATACTTTTATAAATTATTAAAATATAAATCAGCCATATCTGTATTAACAACGAGAATTTTTGCATTGATTTTTAATAATTTTATCAAGAAAAATTATAAAATTTCTTCGAAAAATATTTATAATTCAGTTAGAACTTCTATAACTATATTATGGAACAGAGTTTATTGCTAATAAACATGTTAAAGAGAGTGACGATTACACAGTAGTATGAGGTTAAGTACACAATTTTATAGAATTTATGTTCTTTTTACAGCAACGTTTTCAATCTCTTTCGTAGCAATAAAAATTTATCAATGTACAATACAGTTTACATTAAAAGAAATGTGTTTTCTAGAATATCAAGTCAAAATTTGCGTAATTTGGCAGATAATTTGGATTATTAATTAACGAAAATGTATATTTTAAGCCCTTCTTAGAAACTATAGCAATAAAATAGATTCTCTAGAAAGCATGAAACTCTCTTTAGTGTGGAGTTATTAAGCTCGTGTTGAATGTTCTACCCCATATAAACTATTATATAATAGAGTAATTCTCTAGAAAATAGCGAATAATTATATTAATGTAATAGCATCATCAACTAGGTTTATAAATTCTAACTGTTAAATCAGCTTATAGTTAAGCTTATATTCATTATTGTAATAATTAGACAACCAAATTACTGAATCTGGTTAATATCATTTACATCCATAACATTGATTATTCTGACGAAGCAGATATTTATAGATAATTATATTTATGATAAATCAAAAAACACACTAATGATGATGAATTTGCAGTATAATTTACAACGATGATGATAACAAGTAGTGAAAACTGCTTGTTATCAAACTGCTAATAATAATATACCGAATGAGAGAAGTTTCACATAACGAAAATTAAGTAAAACGTAGCTATATCCAGTATAACGTAAGTTAACAACAATAGAGGGAAAACTAGGTCTATGCACACAAAACAAACTCAATTTTTAATGCAAATAAAAAAAATTCAGCAACGAGTTACTTAACTTTCCCGACAACATTTAGTTAAGTAAATTTAGTAGTAAATTTCTCTTATAAATAACCTTAAATAAGTAATTTTGAAAATAGTTTACATTCTTGTTTACACTTTTATTTGTTATAGATTTCGGTATCGAATCGTTGTAAAAGTTCTGTGTGATTGGCGTTAAAATTAAACCATGGTGAATTATTTAACAACTATCGAGTTTACAGTAGCGCATAGACGATCAGTGTATAATTTGTTTGTATTTTTCGTGCCTTTCAGTCTTCACACGCCTATCAAGCACTTCTTTTTATTAAATTTTGGTGGTTAAAGGTCGAGGGAGTGGGGAGATATAAAAGTCCACGCGTAGGGTCGAAGTGAATGACGATTTTACTCGTTATTATCATTTATAATTTTTTATAAAACCTATCCGTACCCTCAAAATTAAGCCATTTTATAACAATTAATAATATAAGATTTTATTATTAAAAACTTTTTATAACAGATGACATCAATTTTAAATTTTATTGCCAGGAAAGTTACGCAACTCGTTGCTGAAATTTTTCCTATCAATATTTTGACATCCTAAATACGCAGCTCCCCACTTTATACGAGGACCGTCTTACTCTAATACACCAAATATGGTAGCTATCTAAAGTTAATCTGAATATTTTCGCTTCTTCCATTACTAATTCCATAAATTTTGGCCATTTCTGATTAATGTATAACTTAGATAAACGTTATTTTACTCGTGTTCTAGTTCACCATTAGTGAGTTTAATACACGCTATCGGTAAATGTTCGTCCTTTATTTTTCTTAATTTCGGTTAGTGCCTGGGCCATAACCTGTCGTGAATACTTCGTTTTTATTTCAGTTTTAGTTAGTATGTAGGCCTATGCGCGTGTGTGTCGAGAAAACTACACTTCATCTTCAAATGTAATAGTTTAATTTGATTTTTACTTAGAACGGTACAAGATTCACATCTCGGAAACACAATGAAAATAAAATGATCTTGAGCATCAATATAAGAATGCTTACTTCTAACAATAAAAAGTAGAAGTCAACATTCTACTTCTACCTTTTATTGCTAGAAGTATGCACGTCTACATAAAAGGTAGAAGTGTAACGAATATATTATATATATAGGCTATATAACCGAGACCTAGCCTATAGTTTCTTGTATAAGTAAGAGGGCACTTTTAAAGTATTGTCTTTTTCAGAATAATTTTGTACATAGACTTTTATTGCAGCATGTGAACCATTAAACTTGAGAAATCTGAGTTGATATATGTTCGAAGAACATATGTTATTAATATACCAGGTAAATGACTTTTTCGCACGATAATATTCGGAAATTAAACATCATAAAACAGCTTTTATCGTTGTAATGTATTTTTTTTTCATATAAATGATGAAAATATTATTTGAATCAAACGTGATTTAAATAGGAAGAACGTGAATCACTACCAGTAAAGTAATTCTAAATACATTAATGTTTGTACTAGAATTTCATATTGGGCTGCAATTTTTAAATTACAGGGGCAAGACACGACTAATTTGAGATGGAAAATATATAGTCTACTATTAAAAATTGCGGCCCGACATTATGACGATGTCACAATAATTTTTGATAAATGAAGATTATAAAAATGTGAAAAATGTACTAAAAAATCATTATTTTTTTTAAAAAAAATAATGATTTGTTGTTCAAATTACATTTAAAACGATAAAATAACTTTAACAGATTTCGTTATTTTATTTAAAAAATAGTTTAAAAATCTATAAATGCCGTGTGTATTATTGAAAGTATTTCTGTTTGTTCGTCGATAGAAATTAAAAGAGAAATTCTCTCTTAATAGAAATTAAGAGAGAATTTCGCTCTTAATTTCTATTCGCGACTGAAAACGATTGAACTGCATAGTGTTGTCATTTTAAAAAAAAAGCTACTAATTACACTATTGGACCTATCAAATTATTATTGTTTTTGTTATTACTTTTATGTGATTTTTGGAAGAATTCTAAACAATAAACGGGTCACCAGACTTAAGCTTTCCATATCTGGTCTCGATTTTCATGCATTCTGTTCTCGAGATTAACAAAGGACGTACGGAAGACAGTGAAAATGTATAGGTCTGTAGTCCGAAAATTTAAAGTGTGTTCAGTGTTTTTATCCAGTTGGCCACTAATGGCCATGTGTTGGCTGGTTTTAATAAATTAAATATTTTTATTTACAAAGCGACTTAATTCTGAGTTTAATCTTGACTTCAAAATTATTAATAAATGCATTGTCATTTTCTGAAAATTTTATTGTTTCAAGTAGTGTGGAGTTTAGCAGAAGTTTCTTTAACAATTTTTATGACTAATTATTTTCTTTAGAAATGTTATTGTTTTGTTGCCACTGCCTATTTAACAACAATTATTATATGTGTACACAGTCTAGACATTCTTTAATCACTTTTTGTTATTATGATGTATTCATTAAGTTCAAATGCAGTGTGTACACTGGCGAAGACACGACAAAACTGTATTTCAAAGTTTCCGGAGTTGTGCAGCCAGATTTTAATGTAACAACTAAGATTAACCCAGTTTAATCAGGAGACCATGTACTGTACACTCGCGACAATTCTCTCTCTGCTCACCAGATTGTGTGAGATGCCTTGCCACCAGACTGGTCATTCCCAGTATCGGTAATCGTAAAGAGACACATTCTTACTCATAAGATTATTATTATATTTTTTATTTATCAAGTTAAAATAGTCCATCGTAGGAACATTGTTTAAAAGTGGTTGGCAACGCGATCATTTTCATACTGGAACTCATTCTGTGCAGTTGTAGTAACATATCCTTCACCTCTACAAGGTCCAAGATGAAAACAGACAGTGTGCTCAAGCGCAGGGACGTGCCGTGCTATAATGGAGAGGCGGCCGCATCAGTCGAGGCGGCAGCATTTAAG